TGCGCATGTATATCTCTTTGGTGGATTTTTTTCTCATGAACTTCACTGTGTCTTCTGAATTGATCATGAATTTTCTATCAATTGGATGATAATTTGTTGAGTGCATTTGTTAGTGGCTTGTGTTTCCGCTGATTGATGCAGATATGTTTTCTTAACATTTTTTTTTGTGATACCTCAAATGGCTTGGCACCCCTAATTTTGGATATTTTCCAAAGAGATTCTGTAGATTTTAATTTTTTTTCAAAACTATTGTTGTGATTGTTTTCAAGGTCTAACTCGTGTTCCACTTTTTCTATAGCCTTCAAGTTTTTATTTTTGTTGAAGTTTCTGACTTGGAGTCTCTTTGGGTCCTAGTGGCTCTATTCATTTGTCTAATGGGGTTTGTTCCTGCAAATCCCCTTTCAATTTCTGACTCATTGGTTGAATAGAATGACTGTCCATCTTGATAAGCCCTTTTGGATGTCTAGAGCCTTCTTTGAAGATCATATCTTTTTTTTGAACTGCGGTGCTTAATAGAATTAATAGTTAATACTAATGGCATTCGTTGATTCATTGCATAACTACAGTGAATAAGACTTTTTACTGAGGTAGCACTTGGGACGCTTCCCAGATTCCTTAGGGGGCTATTTTCCCTTGACAAATAGAAATCTGAGATGCCATGCCAGAGAGCTTCACCATGAGGAGGCAGATACATTGGGAAGAGCAAGGCAAAAGACAATGCCTTGCAAAGGGAGCCAACTTCCCTTCCACCAACGAACTACTCTTTCAGTTAATTGCTAGGATTTTATAGAAAGGAGACTGCACCAAGGATTCACCACCTTGACAAAAGGGAAGGTTTTCCTTGTGTGGTTAGCAAAGCCTTGACCACTGTGTGGCTGTAAAGCATGATGACCATATCAATTTTGTTAACCTGACTCTATCCTCCATATAATGCCCACACTCACTCAAGAGTCAAGACTTTACACCATCAACCTGCATCGGCCATCAAATGCAGCCATTAACCTGGTACCAGGAAGCTCACACTTCCTTTCAGCATAGCATGCTTACTGGTCAGGGACCAATCTTACATTAATATCATGGTAGGTATGCCCTTCACCAGAGAGCAGAGAGCAATGTCCTAGGAATTCCTTTTGAACCTCTATAAAATCCTTGCCTTGATCAATGAATGAAACAGACTTCCAAAACAGAACAATAAAATCCCATTTGCTCCCAATTGATATGCAAAGGAATTGGGTAGCTTTGCTTCAGATATTTTCTCTTATTATTTGTAGTTTTATTTTTCTGTTTGTGTAGGATGTTATGATTCTTCTATTATATAAAAAAGATGTGACATCCCGGGTGCTGACTAGGGCAAGAAATGATGCCTCTGCAATGAGACACACACAAGGAGTGACTCCTAGCAGGTTTCCAGTGAAAGAGACACATGAATGAATTGAATGTATATTGGAATAAGAGAAATCCAAGGACTAGATATGCATCAATTGAGCTGAAATAATGAAATGGAGTATCAGTTTAACTCTTCTCAATAAACAACATAAATTAGGGGTTCTCCCCGTGTATTTTAGCGCTTAAAAATTTTGGAACAAAGTTTTAACAACATTTTTAGTATAGGCCTTCCAAGCCTGATTGAAATCTGACACTTTTTTTTTTTGGTTTTCTAAATTTTAGAAATTGGAGCTCATATTATCATCCTTGGGTCAAGGACCAACCAAGCCAATTCAAGAATCACTTGTACATTCAATGAAGGCATTGATTTCTGATGAACTTTTGCACCATAGAGACCAGGGTGTTTAGATTTCAGTTACATCTTGCCTCATTGAGATTACAAGAATCACCGCACCAGAAGTCCCTTATAATGATGAGGAAATGAAGGTATTAATTTTAGTTTGACGTATTTGTCTTTTTTCGATCAAACTATTGAAGTATTTTGTACAGTGTTTATTATAGATGATGTTAAGGCTTCTTTATACACATTTTTCTTGTTTGAATTAACATATATGGCATTTCATTTCATGGAAAACAGGAAATCTTCAAGGTCACGTCACAGTGAGAGCTTTTGAGAAATTGTCTCACGTATCTGGCCATGGCTATGAAAAAGCGCTTACCATACTTGACAATGTTTCAAACATCAGATTATGCTTGGTCATGCTGGACCTTGAGTGTGACGACCTGGTTATTGAAATGTTTCAGCATTTCTTGAGATTTACGAGGTTAGAGCCTTGAGAATATATCTTTTATCTGCTTCTTGTCCCAAACTCAACTGGATGACATTTAATATCTCCATTAGGTTTTTCTTTATTTCTGATTAATTATTTAGTAAATGCGCATCATCTCTATAAAATTCCTGTACCCACCTTTAGGTTTCTTTTCTATTTCTTCTAAGTGGATATCTGAGACATTGAAATAGTTGACATTTCAAACAGTTTTGCAATTTTGGTGGAACACATTGAAATTGATCACATAACTATTGGATCATATTGATGTTTTAATCATGTGTCCTTTTTTCTGCATACTGTCCCTGTTAGTTATCCTTGATATATATGATAGATACTTTCCTGTTACTTGGGTCTACACTAGGAAGGTAGTGAAGGGAAGCAGGGGAATGAGTCTCATGAGGGTAATGAGGAAAGTAGTAGAGATAATCATTATTGATATTTGAAATGTAACAACTAGAATCTGTTAGAATGAAAGCAATAAGAGGAATGGAGAAGGGATAGGAAGGGGGTGAGCAAGTATTAAGCGTAAGGACTGAGAATCAGAGGGAGGAAGTAGACTTCCAGATCCTGAAGTGTCTCTGGTGTATTTGTTAGATGTAAAATTATTTATTAGTCTCACTTTCTACTGAGACCAAGGTGATATTTGTATCATAGGGAGATTGGTATAAGAACTGATGCAAAACACTAATGAAAGCAGGAAAGAAAATAGAGTGTAAGATATAATATCATTCATTAGTGTTTTGCATCAGTTCTTATACCAATCTCCCTATGATACAAATATCACCTTGGTCTCAGTAGAAAGTGAAGAAACTGTAGTGAATGTTTTCAGTAAAAATGTGCTCTGTTTTCCTGTTTACTATCAATTTACTTGAGGTGTGCTTCTGAAGATGAAGCTACTTTCTTGTGAATTCTTTTGTGTTTTACATATCAATGATGAAGCGGGGATACCCAAAGAAATTAGGCCTTTCCTTTTGCAAATGACTTGCAGATGAAACTTTGGAGTTGTTTTACATTAATAAATGCTGATGAAAAAGCAAATTGCTTAACACAAAAAGGAATAGTTGATTGCCTCCCCCCCTTCTTATTTTAAAAGCTTCATCCACTTTTTAGAATTATTACTTAAAGTATTTGCTCATTTTAAAGGTCGGACCATCCCCGTAAAGCAATTGATGGGATGGAATCAATAATGACTCAAGTCTTGGCCCAAAATGAAGACATCTCTGTAGATCTTCTTGGACCTCTATTAGATAGTTGTACTGCAAGCTTGAGACAGAATTCATATGAAGTGTTATTGGCTCGGAAATTCGTAAAAGAATTCCATGTTGAGTTGAATCACTTGGGTTTTTTTTTTTCCTGAAATGTATCTAGGTCATGATGCATTTGTCACTTGCAAGTGCCTTCATTACAAATTAAATTTTAGTAAAATCTTTGAAAGTTAACAAATCGTTCTTTATATTTCATGATCTCAAAATTATGCATTTTTCTGCTGTGATTATTATTATTAATATAAAACAGCATTTCCCTTAGCAAACATATTGATACTTATTTATGCAGTTTTTTTCTTTACTCCCCTGCACTTGAGCAAAATATCAGAGCATAAATTGAAGTTGCATTGTCTACTTGAAGCACATGAAAGACAATCAATTAAGAAATTTATTCTTGAACCAAGTACTTCTGGTTACTATTTAATTATACAGTAAGTCAAACAATAATGATTTATAGGGATGGACTCCTTGAAATTACAGTAATTAATAAGAAAAAAAAAGAATAAAATTTGTTGGGACTGAAATTTTCCACCTGGGGTCAAAGAAAAGTGACTCTGGTGCCAAGTTTTCACTTTCATTAACATTCTCATCAGGCCAAGGATCAATCAATTTTTATTACATGCAAAAAAAAACTACCTATTCCCGTGACATTTGCTGCTGACAGGCATAGATTCTTTTTTGGTCATGTGGGGAGTAATCATTCTTTTTAAGAGTAATCTGCTGCATGGAGTTACTCTAATGTCACACTATGGGCGATTTAGAAAATCCGCTTTATGTACTCAAATGGAACTTTAGCCTCTGGTTAGAAAAGACTATTTTACTGAAATTATCTACACTTTGCGTGTAAAACGAATAACACATTAATCTAAATGTAGAGCGACTAATTTCAACCAGCATTTTTTCGGTGGTTTTAAACAGCATTCTCCACCTAGCTCAAGGGATGACAATTAGACACGTACGAAGTCTACTCTAGATTTATTGATCTTGATATAATTCCAAAGCGTGAAGGGCTTTCAATACAACTGAAAAAACGGTCAACGGACTTTTATCAAAATGTTGAAAAATAAATTAATTACTGGGCTTAGACTATTCAAAATCAATTTTAAAGCGTCCAAACGATATACCATATTGCTATGTAAAAGTTCAAATATATTTAGAATAACAGATGGGCATTTGGTCTAGTGGTATGATTCTCGCTTAGGGTGCGAGAGGTCCCGAGTTCAATTCTCGGAATGCCCCTTTTACTGTTTTGGGTGACAAACTCTCGCCCTGATGCCAAGTAAACAAGCAACTATTCATACATTGATTTTTGTTCCTTCAACATTATATATTTTACATAAACAACACAGCATATTCGCTAAAGTTGGATAGAAGTTCCTTAGACCGGCCTAGCTTTCCTTCATTCTCCTTTTTCTCTTTGGGATTGCCATTCTAGTGATGTAAACGGCCTTTTTCTCTTCTGTTTGTTGTTTCGGCAACTAGACAGAAATCGTAAGGCCATTATTTTTATGTAAAGAAGTCAAAAATTTTCGAGAATAAGCTTGCGCATGAAATCTTCTGGAGCTGCAAAGAAAATTAAAATGATTAAATGCATTATTTATTATATTTAAGATATCAAAAGCTTTGAAGCTGTAGATGATTAGTACCTAATCCTCCTGTAAATAGTCGAAATTGGTCAAGAGCCTGTCTAATGAACATTTCAACTCCACTCACCACAATGGCTCCAACCTCGGAAGCCTCTTGCAAGAGCCTTGTATTTCTGGGTGTGTAAACAGCATCAAAAACTAGCTCATATGATCTCAAGGCATCCTAAGTAAGCATCAAACCCAGAATCATGTCAAATTACTTATATTCTTATTCGATTTTTACAATGAATGAGAGAATGAAATAGAACCTTTATTATAGGACTTTCATTTGAATTTGGTTCCATTCCCACAGAAGATGCATTTGCTAAGATCATTCTGCTTTCTGGGGAGAATGTATCCAAGTATTCATATGGTAGAGCTTCCCCTGACATTGCATGTGCAAGAGCTCTGGCTCTCTCTATCAAACAAAGAAATAAGATTGTTTTAAATAAGATAATGGTCTTTTTTTACTTTTCAAGATTAAATATACCGTCGTTTTTCTAACCTGTACGAAAGAATACATAATAAGAAATTAATAAATATTAATTTCATTAAATTATTTATTAAAATTTAAATTTTAATAAAAATTTACAATAATAAGTTCTTATTACATGTTGTACAGGTTAGAAAAGCTCATGTAGCATATCATATACCATAGTTACGATTGAAAATGACAACTCGAGCCCCCTTGCTTTTTGCACCATAGGCAAGTGCCCTTCCAGCACCTCCTGCTCCAATCAAAACAAAGATTTTCCCTGCAATTGGGGATCTATGTGATGCTTCCCCATTTATACCTTGTCTCTCTGTTCAGTCCAAACAAATGTTAACTTGTCATTATTAATAAACTTCAACCTACTTCTCTTCTATTTACATTTTGTGTGGTTCTAGATTGAACAATTTAATTGAACAAGAAAAGATTCTCCACTAAGAATAAACATTTGAAAATCTTTTCTTAACATTTTAGGAACACTTTTAATTGTTTTGATCTTCAAATAGCTTGTCAAAGATACCAGAATAAAGCCCTTCATGCTTCTTACCTAGAGATGCTTGTATTCAAATTTGAAAACCTGAGAAAAGATTTGATTCTCAAAGTACCTCTCATTGCGTCCTCTATTGCAGTGATAGAAGCATCACAATCTGTATTGTAGCCAATCAGCTTTCCATCAACAGGTCTCCTTATTATAGTATTTACAGCTCCAATGGACTACGTGACAAAGGGAACCACATTTCAGATCAGCATGAAATTTGTATAGTGATTGAATGTAACAAAGAATTACTAGTGCAGAAATCTGGGTTGCTTTGATTTCTTCCATATAAACTATATTTACTCGATATTGTATGAAAAATTTATACAAGAACTTTGGTTCCTGGTTCTTAAAAAACAATTTTGAAGGCATGGATTCATATATGAAGCAAAAATAATAACCACCTAAATGATGGGTTTTTAAACTCATTCTCATGTGTCTGTTTTTTCTGTTCCTACAGGTCGTATATGGAGTTTGACACATCAACAAGTGACTGTTTGCTAACCTTGGCAAGTGGATGGACTTCATCACAACAATCAACTGCTGCCTCTTTATGAGGGATTCCAACACTGCAGAAATTGAATTAAAGAAAAAAAAAAGGCATCACTGAAGCTTTACCGATGTGAAGTTTGGTATTTTACCAACAACTACTAAACTTTCTTGTAGAGCATTTCAATTGCACATGCAGTAACATTATTTTTTTTACAATATTTGTAATGGAAATAAGGATAAAGTTCACAAGGAAGAAATTTTCTTCCTCTCTCTAGTTTGCTAGCGAGAGGTGAAATTGAATATAGTTGGGGATGGTTGAAAATTTCCAATGTATCACATCAATTTTCATTTTTTTTCTTCCTTCACACTTCTTTCATTTTCACTTATACCCATGCTCAAGCACACCTAAAATGCTTGCATACCTGAAGCCTGCGAAGTCCATGCTTGTGTAAGTACAAAAGAACTCTTTAATGTCATCCACAAGCATTGGTACATAAATTCCATTATATCCTGAAAATCTCAAGGCAGGGTTATGCAAAATGGGCCCTCTACTATGACCTACTGGATTTGATACAAGACCAAAAACTTTGGTATCAGCGTTCACATATTCCAATTTGTAAACATGCTTGAGGCTGACTAGTGTTGGCAGGCCGGGTATGGGTTTGTCCTCCAGAGATCCATACACCAAAAATCCACCAAATTTTGGCCCCAGTAATTGGCATATTAAGCCTCTGCTTCCCACTGCAATAGCAATGAGGGGAACCTAGAAAAGAAAAAGTGTAGTTGCTTAGTTCAAGATAAAAGGAAAGAAAGAGTACTAACTTTTAAAGACAAAATTGTTATAAGGTCATTTTATAGATTTTGAATTATAGTTCTTTAGAGATCAAGATGCATTTTTTGTCGAGGTCCCGTTTAGATAAGTTTATGCAAAAATACTTATAAGAAACAACTAAAATCCTTATACAGATTGAGCTATAATGTGGTTGCAAGTATATCTTATTTCATTAAATTAATACCTTTGGAAGTTGCAATTTGTAATATTTTGATCCTTGAAAATTGTCATTTTTACAAAATTAGTCCTTTAAGAGATGGAATTATTTACAAATTGATAATTTGGTCCAATAAATTTGTTGATAAGTTGACACTTTAGATGTACATTTTCAAGGAGCTAAGTAATACAAGTTGCCACCTTTGGGGAGTAAACTGTATTTTGACTCTTGCACTTACCTATCTTCACCCCATCTGCTCTTGCATAGACGTGACATTTGTTGGGAAAATGGTTACCTGGCTATGTGTGAGCATCCGAAAAATTGGTACTAAGTCTGTGATATAATTGACATCAATTTTGAGTTTGATAGCATCAGCTCCTGTAATTTGCATCCGTGCAATTAGATCCCCTAGTGTCTCAGCTGACGAGTTCCCTCCATTCACATAGCTTGATACAATAAATTTGCTATTGGGATGAAGAAGTTTATATTCGAAAATGCTTATTTCAGCAGTCATCTGAAAAGGTTTTGTTTGAATTGAAAATGTGTTAGAGCTCAAGAAAGTTGAAGCATTAAAAACCCGAACCACTATAAATGGTGGAAAATCAAGCTTCTATTGTTGTCTAAAACAAATACTAATTATGTGAACAGTTTATTATTTTTTAGTGATTTAGGATCTAAGATGGTTTGTTATGAATAACTACATTGTTAGATACTGATCACAATTATTTAGTACCAAGTGTAAAGAAGATCAGTTATTATATGGTATTTACTATTTGAATTATTTTTGGGTTTCATGCGAATGTAGGAATGGTTTCTCAGGTGAAATCACTGTATTTGAAACATTGTTATCCTATTGGTGAATAAAATAATATTAAAAAAATGATAAAATATAAAAGTTTTATTAAAACATAGTAAGATAAGTAAAGGGAAATAGCAGATATAATACGAAACGAATTGTACGACTTCGTTACGACAATAACAAGGCATGATTTCACTTTTTGTTTTTACTTTTTTATTTATTACTGAAATTATTAATTAACCAGTCAAATAAATCTATTTATGATTCGTAACTTTGGTACTATATTGCATTACTGATAAGTAAAATAGACTGTTATCTTATTTTATAATTAATGAATACTATTATTCCGTTATACCACTACCTCAGTTTATTGATTTCTTTATCACACAACACAAAAAATTATCCAAACCTCATAATCCACTTCAACAAATTCCAACTCTAATTCCAATGCCAGTCTCATTACTTCCAAGTATGTAGCCTTACTGTGAGTTGTGCTTATAATATCTGATGATTGGACTCTGTTAATCACAATGGAAGCAAATATCAGCTCAAATCCAGTAACATGCACCAGTTAAAAATATCAGCTTATGAGAACAGCAGATTTTTTCTGTTGGTCCAATTTATAACATCTTGTTAATTAGTACTTTCTTAAAGCCAATAGTTCAAAATATAATAAAAAATATGATAAAATTACATTATTAATTTTAAAATTATTTTTTAATTTCTTAAACATATTAGTAAACGTTTAAAATATGTATTGTCTTGGAGGAGCCTGGGCCCCCACAGTCTGACTGGCATGGGCATACTAACTAAATTGCTACCCAATAGAGTAGTTTGGAGCCCAAAGGAAACCCGTACACAGAAACAACGGGCCTGAAAGGCCCAAATATAGCAACAGAAGAAGGCATATGATAAGACAAAAAGACCAGCTTGGTTGCTTATAGATAGTAGATACTACAGATCTAAAGAGAATCCCAAGATTCTGCAAGTACGTTAAGAGATAAGGCATGCGATACTTCATTTTAATTTCTATAATGCAATAATCATCGACTACAGTATACAGATGAGTCATGCCAAATTAATTCCTTTAATTGCTAGAAAAAACTTTTATTAATTATTCCTTCAAAAGATTTTCTTTAAAAAATTATAAATAATTTTATAATTCTATTTTTTAAAATATATTTCTGAAAGTTAAGTTTTGAAAATGACAAAAAACAAAAAGTATAATTGATAAAAAAATTATAAGAAAAATAATCTCACAAACATAGTACTGTTAGATCCACAGTGACAATGTCAGACTTTTTGACCAGCTTGGAGTGCTTTCTGAAATTATGTACCAAACAAGTTTTAAAAATATTTATTGATTTGGAAAAATAGATATCTAGTAGAAATGGTTTCATTATTTTTTAATTATTTCAAAGAGTTGTACTTCTTGTATATATGCAAAACTTGTTTAATTTGAAAATATATAAATAAATAAACGAGTCTTATTCAAAATAATAATAATAATAATAATAATAATAATAATAATAATTTGTCACGTAATAAAAACTATTCTAAATTAATAAATAACTTTTCTCTATGTTATCTAGTACATTGATAATGAAAAAGCCAATAATGCCAACTGCGAGGATTATTGGCTCGCTGATAAACCAATTTTTCTTACATTTTCTAACTTTTTTTTTCTTGAAAAAAATTATTATATTAGAGAAAAACTTTATCGTATGTAAGATTGGAAAAACTTATTAAGCGCAACGAAGTTTTATCATGAGATTAAGGATTATATTTACCAGCAGATTAAGTATTACATTTATCATGAGATCATGAGATTGAAAAAATTCAAGTATTGATTTTGATAGAAAAAAAGATTGAACCAATGAGTCAACTTTCCGTTAACAAACGCGTTTTTTATAAGGTATTTATATATTTAATTGATTTAATTTTAACAAGAAATTTCTTCTGTTAAAATCATATTTATTCAATTTTTATGTTTGTTTTATTTTATTATAAAATATTAAAATATATATAATAACTATAATAAAGTTATTTTAGTATAAAATAAAAATATATACTAAAGATAATAAAAGATAATAATTAAATTTAAAGATCTTTCTAAATTAATAAATTAATAAACTAATAAACACTATAAAAAGTAATAGAAGATAATTTAACAAATAATATTAAAAAATAATATGTTAATTTCATATTTATTTATGTACGTAAAAAATAGATAGCAACGATAAATTTACAAATAAAATTATATTAGAATTTTTTTATAATTCATTTTTTAAAATATAAATTAAAAAATAATTTAATTTAATTAATATGTATTTTTTTTTTTAGGTTTCCAAGTTTTAATATATATTTTTATGATAGTTTATTTTGAATTAAATAAATTTAAAATATATCTACTTATGATTCATCAGCATGCAGTTAAAGCACTTACTAGTGACCATGGATTATGGATTAGTGATTAAATTCATTATTCAGCAATTATGACAATGAGAGATGCCAGTAATAATTTTAACTACTAAATACTGTCATCATTAAATAAACTTTCACGATTACTTCATTAACGAAAGATAAACTTAAATCATTTAATAAGTTTATTTATCTGAAATTTTATCTAACTAAAAGTCTAGGAATGAGTGACATACAAAACTAATAAGATTATATGGATTATTATTTTCAGTAATTAGCACAGCCTAAACATAAAAAAGAGTAATTAGCAGTGTCTCATTGGCTTTGCTTTTCGTCAAAGTACTGTTTGTATTGTGGAGGAGCAACTGGGCATTTACAGTACCTCATGCCTTCACACTTTCTTTCAAAATTTCATCAGGAAATTTCTTTTTCACGTGTTTTTACTATTTGACATGATTAAAAAAAGAAATTGATAATAAAAAATAATTAAAGAATATAATATACTTTTTAAAAATTTATATTTGAATTATTATATATATTTTTATTTAATGCTATTAATTATATTTTTTTATGTTAGATTTATGTTTATATCTTTTTTAATCAGTTTTTATGGACGATAATTTTTTCCAAAGCAACGCAGAACTAAACATAAACGTAGTAGTTAACAAGCAATGGGAGAATGATATATTATTGAAGAAAAAAATAAAAGGAAGGAAATAATTTATTTTTCAGAAATTAACATTATTTTTTTATTTTTAATATAAATTTAAAGAGAAATGAGAATAAAAAAATGCGATAAGCAGTGAGATATCGATACTGATAAGTAGTGAGAAAAAAGACTATGAAAGCAGCAGAAAAAAAAAGAAATAAAATAAAATAGAGATATTGAGACGTAGATATCATAGTGCTAAAATATTTAAACAGTATAGCAAAAAGATAAAATTAAATAAATAAATAAAGAGTAAAAAATAAATAAAACTACTTATTCGTAGGTCCTTTGGAAAATTGTTTATATAATTAGATAAAAAAAGTTCCTTAACATAGCATTGGAAGTGAAATTAAAAAGATGAAAATTTAATAAAACGAGTGAAAGTGAGAAGAAGATAAGAGCAGAACAGGAAAAAATGAACAGATAACGTACCATACAATTTTCAAAGTATTACCTGCTATTCTTTTAAGTGTTAATTTTATTTTCTATTTAAAGTAAAAAAATATATTGTAAAATTTGGTTGTTGGTTGAGTTAAAATTTTGTGTGGAGAAAAGAATGGATTTGTTGTATAATGTGGGGAAGATGAAAAGTACGCACCTGAGAGAGACAATTGCAGGGAGAGTTCTTATCTTAAAGAGAGTTCGAAGGTGAGGGATGTGAATGGGTGATAAGGCATCGATGCATAGTTCAACGATGTTTGCACCCTCTGATTTTGCTTTCTCCATTGAAGCTTCCATTTCTTCGGTTGTTTCACATTCTAATGGCGCGCACACCAGAGGGTTGTTCGAGAACGCCATGCTTATCAACGAGACTAGAGAGAGAACGATGAGTTAGAAATAATGAATAATTCAAAATTTTGGCTCACTGTAAAATCACAAGCTCTTAGCATGGCATGTGCGCGAAACAAAAGTGTCCGGAGATAGATTCAATAAATCTTAAATCAAATTATAATAAATTATGTTAAATAATAATTCATTTATAATTATTTTTAAAATTTTCGTCTATAGTTACCTTTTATAAATAAACAGTCAACTCGTTTGATTAAATTATACCATCCGTATAATGAATGACAAATGATGATTAAATCTAATCTATTTATTAACTTTCATTTTTATAATTAGATGGGTCTGTCGAATTTAAATATGAATAATAAATTATTAATAAAAAGTTAAAAATCCCTTCAAACAAGCTTTTAAAAGTTAGATTTAAAAAGTTATAAATTTTTTTATATTATTCACTAAACAATTTTACTAGTTCATTACAAATTCCAAAATCTGCAAGAAGATTATACTGACCATACACTTTCTACATACGAGGAAATTTTTTCAGAAACCTTATCATTCGTACTTCCTTTCTTTTTAAGCAAACTACCTAACATGTATGTGTGGTTATTTTTTTCATAAAAAACTGAAGATAAAAAAACTGTTAAATAAAGAAAATAAAAATTTTACTAACTCATTACAAACTCCAAAATATGCAACAAAATTATACTTACCAAACACATTCAACATATGAGGAAAATTTTCAGAAACCTTATTATATGTACTTCCTTTCTTTTTAAGCAAACTACCTAACATGTATATATGGTTTATTTTTTCTAAAAAACTGTTAAATGAAGAAAATAATAACAAGAGAATAAATACACAAAAATTGTTCCTCCGCGTGATGCAAATGTTTTGTGTAATATAAACATTTACATCTCTAATTTCAGAAATAAATAATATTATATTAAGAGTATTTGCCTACTTTAACTGTAAACTAATTATTCAAAAGTAATATATAAATGTTCTAAAAATATATATTCAGTCATATAAATAAATAAAATAAGTTGTTCTTAAAGTATCACTAAAACCTTTAAAACTATCGAAGGATGCATAAATGATATTAAGTTAATCTTAAAATATTATTGACTTTATTGTGAACAATGAATAATGTTCAACGATTTCATTGATTTGTATAAATTATTTTCTCTCATAAAAATGCAGATGTGAAAAAATTAAAACAATATATAATAAAGGAAGTGCAAATAATTTTAGTGAAAATTATATATTAACGAGTTTTATTACAATAGATAAATTTTTATTAGAATCTTAAATCTGACACTATGACGAATTGAAGGAACAACTCATAATTATATATTTATAAGATTGTCATAATTCATAAATAATAAGATTATTTAAGTGTATTGTGAAAGAAATTATATTTATTTTAATACTATATTTGTCTTAAAAATTAGTTTTTAATAATTGACTAGAAATATCTTTAGTATGTTATAAAAAATAATTTAATTTTGAGATATTGTTTGTGAAACAAATTTTACAGTAATATAAATTGTATATTTATTATTATAAAACATAATAAATTTTTACTGATATGAAAATTAATAATTAGATTAGTGATACCGTAACATTCTCTATTTTTTTTTTATTTCGCCCATTTCACATAGTTATTTTTATTTCGTCCATGCATATAATTCTAAATATACACTGTCAAGGAACATTTACGCAATGCATGAGATAATTAGTAAATATTTTTTTTACAGCGCTATTGGATTATCAAAGATAAAGTTTTAAAATATGTTTTTGAGAATGCAAAATAACTAAATTTGATTTAAAATAAATTTGCAGAAAGGTTTCAACTTGATAATTTAAGTATCATCATGTAGGACTTTTTTTTATTATCAATTTATTAAAAGAAATCTTATACCATTTTTATTGTGAGAACATGTTATATAAATTAAGTTATGATTAATTTTCGTACCGACATAGATAACTATAATAACTATAAATTTATTAATAAATTCAAATATTTGATATAATATTTTCCCGTAATTTTTATGTTTGATGTCCTTTGGCTTTCACGTGGACAGCATTATTAAAACTGAACATGGTACAAAAAAGATCAAAATGGATGCGTGTGAAGAAGAACCGTATTGGATGGAAAAAAAAAAATTAAAATGTTTTTTTTAGATCACTAGGTATAAAAAATCTTTGTTTCTTGGTTAAGATTATTATACCAAGTGATTAAATGATGAGAAATAGAATAATAAAATCTATTATTTAGATGTATTGAAATAAAATAAAATTTTAAAAAATGTTAAGCTTTATCATGTTACACAGTCACTTGATCACTTGATCTGTGTTGACCATTGGCTGGCCCTTTATCATGTGTGTTTAAACTGTACTTTTATCCTCTTTCAACCAATGAAAGACAATGGTGTACTGAATTAATTGCAACCTTTAGCATTTAATTGCATTATTAGATCGCAGATATTTCACCAAATGAACATATCTTAGGCTGGAAATTACGATTAATTTTTTTAAACTATACCCTAAATTAATATAATAAATAATCACTTCAATTAACTATTGCAATTATATTTCTTATTGATTATTTATTTTTTTCACCTATCGTCCTGAAAAATATAAGGAAATATTTTAAACAAAATATAATACATTTTCATATTAATATTAAAAAAACTAATATCAATTAACGATTCTTTAATTTGTCACATAACTTTAAACAGTAAAAGATATAGAATAAAGGGAGCATAATTTTTTAATAATTTTAAAGATTTTTTTCTTATATTTTATATTATATTTTTCTCCTATTCATTATAGCTTTAATTTTGTTTTCTCTCTTTTGTCCCCTATGTTACAATCATCGCATACCTATTATGAGGTGCGTGAGAATTATTAATACTTATATCTCCTCTTTTGTTTTTTTTTTTTTTTTCCGAAAAATTTAGTTTCTTCTTAATTACCATTCATTAGTTTTGACTGCACGATACAAGTATGTTGATAGATAAAACAACCGAAGATTTAGACATTGATTCAATTATATTATACCTTTTATTTTTATCTTCGGTGCATTTTGATCCATTATTAAGCTCATTGAAACAATTTTCGCTTTAGCTGCACAAATCTGAAATATTTAGCAGCACAAAGTCATTGTAACTCGATATGCATGTCAAGATACTTCAAAATGCTTCTCCGGTAGTTAAGAAACTAAAGACTCGAAGGATATGTAGAAGGGTTTGTCTAAGTTATTTTATTAGATAAATAATTTCATTATAGATAAAATGATGAAATTTATACATAAAAATTAAATAAAAAGTTGATAAAATTTTTAATATAATATCTCAACTTTATTTATCTTTAAAAATTCAATCATTTATCCTATAAAATAAATTTTGTAAATCCTAGATGAAATGTTTGCATAATATAATATTATCGCAGTAGATGAATGTTTTATTATTATCGTGCTAGTCATGAAGAAACGTTAGTTCTCTATTTTTTTTTTAAAGAAGTTTGATTTATGTAATGTACTGTATTCAAAAAAGGAATAAAGAAAAAATGTCTTGAAATGTGCTTTTATTTTATTATTAACAAATAATATGATAAAAATATTGTATAATTCACGTTATTATTTTACATATTTAACGTATGTTTCCCATCTATTATACAGATATTTTAAATTTAAAGTAAATTTTAAAGTATAAATGTAAACAATAAAAATATATAAGACAGGAATATAATCATTGTTAAACAATAGGGAATCACCTATTTTAAGGAAGTGGAAATCCGTCCTAAACAGGGCAATAGGTGTCGGTTGATAAGGTTTGATGAATATTGGATGAAACTCCTTCAAAAACAGTGCTTGTTTGTTCTATACCCACTTGCCAAATAATGCTCAGAAAGTTAACATCATCATTCAATGAGCCATAGTGCATCCAATTACACAGACAATGCATGTGGCCTTCCATCTCTAGATACATCTACTGCATGTCAGTGTATAAGTGAGATTGTCATGGAATCTTGTATGCACTGTTTAGCTTTGTTTTTTGTTTTTAATATAAACTGCTAAATTTTTTATTTTATTATCAGTTTTAAAAGATTTGTATCAAGAATGTTAAAAGAAAAAAACATTTTTATTGTATATGCTATGCAAATATTTCGAAATAACAAATAAAATGAAAATAAGAAGACATTTTTATTATTAAAAGTAAGAAAAAAATGTTTTGAAAAGCCAAATAGCAACCCTTTTTAACAAAATACATTCCTCCTGTTAGCTCGTATATTGGAGTATTCGAATGGAAGTACACAGTATGCTTGTGAATGTTGTTAATAAGCTCTTGGGACAGGGAAGATATGATATACTTGACCTTTGAAGAGTTACCCTGTTCATTGAGTAAAAAAAGAGTTTGAGAGAAGTTGATATATTCTCTAAAGTGAGTATTCTTAATGTTTTTTTTTATGAACATTAAATTATATTGATTGAATTGTTAATATAAACATTTTATTAAGTAAATTAACTTTGTTATTTTTTTTAAATATAGTATATATTTTAAGATAACAAATATTGACTATGATATTACATCTAAATTACTTATTTCATTTGAAATTATTTATATATAATCATCAAAGCAAAAAAATTACATGATTTAACAATCAAATTGTTGTGTTGGTTTCGTCAACAACTATCCCATGTAATTAAAAAGGTTTGTGAAAATTAAAAGGTTGAACACTTCACATTCACGTTAATGCACAATGCAGTACCATATTATGCAAGTTTGAGCAAACAAACATTAATACAAAAAATGAATGTATATTTTGTGAAAAATTTTGTATCATAATTTAAAAATTTGACACATGAGAAGACGTGAGTAGTTGAGATTACATTATCTGAAATTATTCTATAATTTCTGTTGATGAAATTTTGAACCATATTTTTAAAGAACTGATGGCTTGTCTCATCCTTAAAAATTTATATAGAACAGATTAATTATCCAATTAGAATATGGATTTCTTACTTGTTGGAGCACACACAATTAGAAATTTTGTTCTGTACAAGAATGTCCTGGATGTTTGGAATACTTATGAAGCCAAGATGTAGGAAAGAAATAGATACTAAACTTTTTGCATGAAACCACCAAAAAAGGGTGTGCTAAAAGTGACCACAGATGCTGACCAATCTAGCAAAACTAGCCCTAGTTTTGGAATAGTTGTGACAGATTCTATAGGTTTATGCTTAGCTAAGCCCATCATCAAAACTCCAAACAGATCCAATTGTGGCAGAGGGATATGCTATGAGATGGGCTTTGCAAACTGCAAGACAATGGAATCTGGAGCATATTGAAGTTGAATTGGATTCTTAACAGTTGATCAAGGCAATGAAGGGAAAACATAGTAATCCTTATCTTCATCAAATTGTTGCAAATTGTACCTCTTTCACAAATGCATTTCCTAATATAATAAATGAAGCTCATGTGCTTCCTTCAATAGTTGTTGATTATCCAAATTGTGGCTTGTGGAAAGACTTTCCCTCGAGGGTTTTATTGGCAGTTGCAGCATATTTATCATAATTTTAATACTATGCATTTTACTTTAAAAAAAATCAAATTTGTATTCTATAAAAAAAATATAATAAATAAAGCAAATACAAAAAAATTACAGATTTAACAAAATGGTGTATCAATAATAAGCATCAATTTTTAATGCTAATGAAGTTGCTAACTTGCTACAACACAAAAGCATGATTTTGTTATGTGTATAAATTCATAATATTGTTAAAAGCCTAAACTTATTAGGAAATTATTCAGAGGAGCTTTAGAAATATTCATACGATGACGATGATAATATTTTATAACTGACTAGAAAATATTTTATAATGTTTTATTGGGGAAGAAATAATAATAATAATAATAATATTATTATTATTATTATTATTATTAAGCATTCTAGTTATAGAGTAAAGTAAAATTATAATAATTTATTTAAAAAAATAATAGTTATAATTGTCATAAAATTCATGTACAGATAACACAGAAAAATATTTTTGAATAATAAAAAGCTATTTTGATAGTGATTTATAGATGTAGCTTAACATGGATTCAAAACATTCAAGTAATAATTAAAGAAATTAGGGAAGTTAAATATTTTGATTGATTGATTGAATATGATTATATAAAACATTATTCATTTAATTTGATGATAGAAACAAAGTCAAAAAGTGCCGGTTGAAAAGAATATTTATTAGTACATTAGAATTATAAAAATCATTTAACATTTTTCAAAATAATTAAAAATGTTTATTAAAGTGTATTAATTTTTCGTAATAATGTCCATGGAGCAGTCGTTAACAGGACAAATATCCTATGATTTTGAAAAATATATCGTAAAAGAAAAGAAATATCCTTTTATTATTTTCTTGAAAACAACAACTCGAATTTATAATATTGAAGTGAATAATATAGCGAGGCAAATAATAGCTAAAATGAAAAAAGATGAAATTAAAAACATAGGATAGAATTTGGGAATAGGAAGCAGAGAGGATAAGAAAACAAAAAGCAGAAGAAGCAGACATGGTGATGCGCAAACACTGAACTGCAATTCAATTTAAACCAAAAGGAGTCACCTCTAACACGCAAGCTCAATGGCAGTGGTTGCACTGTCCAGTTCCACTTCCTTATTCTCCACTGTTAAATTCCATTACTCTTTCTCTCGCACACCAATCGTTTCTCTCCATTACAATCCACCCCGTCTCTCCTCTTCCCCCAAATCCAATCGACAAGTAATTCGCTCTTTCTTTCCTCTTCCATGGTTTCTTACTATGAAATATGAATATTTATTTTCCTGTGTTGAAATTTCAGAAGGAAGGTGCAGGGCAGAAGAAGCAACTGGGGCAGTCAAAAGATGAAAGGTCTACTAGAGGGAATGTGGTGGAATCTCAATCTACTAAGGCGTTTGGGATTAATAGGAAAGATAAGGACTTTATGTTCGACTCCAAGGATCAACAGGTACATGAGCATGACTTGCATTTGTGTCTAAATGTTGAGATGCTGTTGTGCAAATAACATTGAGTTTTGTCATGGCCTTTGAGAACTGAGATTTCTTTGCTCAGGAAAGGTGTGTTTGGGTGGACTTCCATCCCTCTTCAAAATGTTTTACTTGAGCGAGTTAGGTTTGAGGTGCTTCTAACATTGTGTGTGTGTGGAAACTCTTAAACATTATTTTATGTTGTGGAAGCATAAAGCTTTACTTTGTTGTAGAATTGTTGTATATGCCGTAATTGGAATTGAAATTATAACTTCTGGCCAATGTATGTTGGCTCCGCGAGTAGAGGACTGAACACCATTGACAAAGTAGGTCTGGGGTATGATTTCTACTGTTGGTAGCAACCTCCATTAGTTAGTCATTCATATATCGTAATAACAAAGCTCATATGATTGCTTTGGTTTTAAATACTGGATGTTAATTGGTTTGGCTGATGTTTGCTGCCGTGGTACTTATCCACATATAAGATCCCTCCTCTGGAATTTGCCTTCTCTTTACTTTTAGTTTCATGCTATGCTTTATCATTGTAGGCACAGAATGCCACCCTGTATTATAAGTGGGGAAATAAGGAGATGGATATATTCCCCCCCACTTTTTTTTTCTGATGACCGTTTAGAGCTACTTGAGCCAAACTTATTATTTATCTTTTCTTGCCTCTCCTAACTTCTACAAACAATTGTATAATTCAGGTTGAACCAAGCAATTTACAAGATTCGGCTTTCCTCAATGCTGTTGTGAAGGTGAAGTTTAACTCTTTCATTTGTGGTAAATAAATATTATTATTGTCACTTTTATCTCAGACCTTTGGCCTTTTGGAGGGATAGCACCTCAAATTCCAAACCCAAAATGTTATTCATTCCGTTCCTCTATTCTTCTGTGCCATGTTCTGGTAGGTTGGTGTTCTTGGTGGGAGCTTTCATGACATGTCTCTAGATTTTCTAATGATTTCAGGTTCAATATTGTTAATTGTTCTATATCCGAGTTATTGTTCATTTTAAGATAATATAATTTGACATATCACCTCATGTTAAATAGAATTTTTTTTCTAGTTTTACCCTTTACAATGCCTTAAAACAGAGCCTCTTCTTCTGTTCTACAACATGCAGTTATCATCTTGTGGATTTCATATTGTTATGTTCTATATTTTATTTGTATTGTTCTTGTATGCATTTTCTCTTTGCTAAAATATCTGGTTCCTATAACATTTGTAGGTTTATTGCACCCATACTGCCCCGGATTATTCACTTCCTTGGCAAAAACAGAGACAATATACAAGTACTGGCAGGCAAGATTTTGAAAACCCTAACCATAAATAGTGAGAATCCTTCTCTCTTAATCTTACAGGCTTCATTTTGTGCAGTGCATTTATGATTGGAGATAGGAAACTATTAACCAATGCACATTGTGTAGAACATGATACGCAGGTAATTTCCTGAATTATCCTATCTTTAGTATGTTGTAGATTTTGTAATATAAATTTATTGATGTGTTTATAGTAAATTCTTAGAATTGAATGTCAAATGGACCTTATTTATGAAATAGCCAACAGAAAGTCGAAAGTCAGGAGAAATTTCCTGATAGTTCAAATTCTAGAAAATTAAAATCATAGAAGAAGTAATTTGTAGAGCTCTTAGTCAGAAAATTGACAAATGACAATGCCAATGGCTCCATAACTTTATTGTTCTAAGTGTTAACTTATTGCAGACTTGTGCATCTAATCCATAAATAGCATGCCCAATAAAACTAAAATTTTGATATTCCTTTAATGTTTCTACTTAAAAGAAGTTAAGGAGATCAATTGCTCTCATTTTCTTTTCTCTTTTGGATATGATTGCAGGTTAAAGTCAAGAGAAGAGGGGATGATTCAAAATATGTGGCTAAGGTGTGTCTCATATAAAGGAGTTGTTCTTATTTTGTATCAATTTTCTATTATCTGGTCAATCTTTCGGTATCGAGACGAGAATAATTTGCTATCTGATGAAAACATATCTGGCTCAGTAGGATTATTGCATTTATCTCTGTTGCATAGTAAGACTAGAGGGTGATGACAGTCAAAAAGTATTAAATTAGTTTGTAAAACTTTATAAGTGCAGAAAAAGTTAACATCTCTAGGGTTTATTTGTAAGTTTTACCATGTTTTAAGATTTTCAATGAATCAATTTTCAAGTGCATTGGTAAAAGTAGGTTATAAATTGTAGAAACTCAGGGAAGCATAAGTCAATCACTCAATTGCAACTTGGAAGGCTGAGGCAAATTTCCTTAAAACTTTATGGAGTTCCATTATGGTAATTCAGGTAATCTGCGGTGACCCTTTTCAATAATTTAAGGACAGTATGACATATAAAATAGTTTTGTTGATTGAAAAAAAATTAGTTCCTGATGGGCATATTATGTTGATTTTTCCTATTGCTCTTAATTCATGATGATATGGAAAAATGGAAGTACTTGCAAATCAAAGTTATATTACAAATAAATGACCTTTATTTTATATATCTTAACACTGTGTATAAGTAATAATCAAATACTCCTATCATGAAAAAAATATAAATATAGTGTATTGAATATTCCAATATTTTTTGTTTACCAAATGATAATATTAAACTTTCAAGGGAAAGCTTTGAGACATTGATTTATAGCATGTGTTCATATATTTACTGTACTCTCAGTGATGGAATGTACAGGTTTTGGCCAGAGGTATTGACTGTGATGTAGCTTTGCTCTCAGTAGAAAGTGAGGAGTTTTGGAGAGACGTGGAACCTCTCAGATTTGGACGCTTGCCACATCTTCAGGTTTAAAATTGCCATTCTTTTGTCTTTTTCTGAACATAATTGCTTTCTGCTTTGGTACCTCTTCATGATAATCTTCCCAATAAAAGGGAGTAAAATCTGATTTGTTGACGAGGTTAAAATGAATTGAATAAGTTATGTATGATCAGTCTCTGAGGGTGTCAGATTTATAGAGCTAGGTTGAGATGATATTCTTGTGTAGTGTCAGGTACATGATGATAGTCATACTTCTGGATATTATGTTTTGAAAATCTGTTAATATACCATATACATTAGGTGAAAAAGTAATATATATTACGTCACTTTAGAAACTGTGTTGATTCATGTCACCTGATCAGTATTTGTTGTCTAATGTTTAAAGGACAATGTAAACTAGATTTTCAACTAATAAATGGAAAAGTAAATTTCCTTACTTTCTCATTTTGTATTCCCTCCACCTCTTCTGTTTAAAAAATAGCAGCTGATATTTTTGTTGTGATCTACACCAACTACCAAGATGCTGTGGTTTTTATACATTTATGTTTTGTGAAAAATCCATGAAATATTAATTAATTGGACAAATTTTGAAAGCATATATAGTATAAATTTTTGTATGATACATGAACTGAAATTTCTTTATGTTTTGTTTCTAACTTGAAGGATTCTGTAACTGTTGTGGGATATCCTCTTGGAGGAGACACAATTTCGGTGACAAAAGGAGTTGTATCTCGTATAGAGGTTTGATATATTGACTTGAACCAAAATTTATCATTTGATCCACCGTGAAATCCACCTTTTTTCTTTTCTAGGATTGTAGTGCTTAGTTGTTAAAAAAATTGTAACCAGGTTACGTCATATGCTCATGGATCATCTGATTTGTTGGGCATTCAAATTGATGCAGCAATAAATCCTGGTCAGTATATTTTAAAGTGGTTTAAATTTTATTTTTGCCTCCGCTTTGTAAATAGTTTTCTCTATATCTTTTCCTATTCTAAATAGTATAACTGCTATGTGTCAATGAAATAACTTCTTCCTCATTTATGGAATTGTTTATATATTGATGTGATTGACATTGCTCAAACTTGTTAAAAAATTTTAGGTAATAGTGGAGGCCCAGCTTTCAATGACCAAGGGGAGTGCATTGGAGTGGCATTTCAGGTAGATTTTATGACCAACTGTTAGTTGATATGTTAATGCTTACTTGGCTTTTGCACCTTGATATGAAAGGTTTGGTTTGTTGGAAAAGTTATTACATGCTAATGCTTGGAATCTTGGTCATATTAAATTAAATTCTGCTAGAGAAAATTGCCACTTCAGTTCTGTTGGTTAAGAAATAATAATACATCAGATTTTGTAATTTTGTTTGTCACAGTATAAAATCATTCACTAGTCTCGACCACTTTGCTTTTGGGAAAGTTGGTTTTTCCCTGTTGTTAGTAGAACCTCTAAGAACAAGTGGTAAGGGGTTCAACCTTTTCTGTCTACCATGTGTCTGAATAAAAATGCTGAGTTTCAGTAAATTGTGGGTGGGCTTGTGCATTTCCACTCATTGAGCTGAAAGGCTCTTGAGTGGGGTTATTAAATATAAAATCATTCATGAATCTTCACCTAACAACTTAAGCTTTTGGGGAAGTTGATTCTTGATAGATCCCAATATCTACGTATCTTGTGCTAACAGGTCAGAAACTTCATTACTTTGTGTATTTTTCTGGGTCATTTTCTTATGGGACATTACCTCTAGGTCTACAGATCTGAAGAGGCTGAAAATATTGGATATGTGATTCCTACAACAGTTGTATCTCATTTTCTGACTGACTATGAAAAGAATGGCAGGTATACTGGTAAGAAATTCTTCCAATTTGATAAATTGTGTCACCATGTTTATTGGATGCATTGCATCATATTACTTGGGGAGATTTTGTGTTGTCTAAATATCACTTTGTATGATTGTCATTCTTGTGTCTTGTAAATGTTATAAGCTAATCAAAATTATACATTTAGAATGAAATTTATACTGTTATAAGATAAAGTTTATAATCCCGTGCAGATCGTTTTTATATGCTGATTTCTTGACTGTCTAAAATTGTTCATGTGTGTTGTTCTGTTTTGTGTGTAAGTATAGATTTCTTTGCATCTTTGCACAAAATAACAGAAAAATAATGTAAGTTCCCAGTCACATCAATACATTAGTGCATATTCTTGTGATTTCCTATGATACCTGGAATCTTTTAATTCCACCTTGCTTCTTGGAAGTCGGAACAAAGTTTACCACTATTGTGTTCAGAAAGCATATCATGTGCAGTGTCTATCACAAATCAAACCTTCTAATCAAGCTTAGTATGCAAACTATGCTGGTGGTCTGAAACAATGTTTTCACTCCCCAGGTTTCCCTTGCCTTGGTGTACTTATACAGAAGTTAGAGAATCCTGCACTGCGTGCTTGTTTGAAAGTACAATCTATTGAGGTATGTCTTTGGCTAAAATCTTCTCTAGTTAAAATTGATTGTACAGAAAACTTATTCATGTTATGCATGGAAATGATTTATTTGAAAACTGGCAATTGAAGATGCCAGTATGGCCTATACCCTCATTTGTGTGGCAATCTTTGTATCATATGAGATTTGATATTTGCTTTAACTCTTGTAAACAACAGTATTGTCTGGATAAATGTAATCTATTGTTACATTTTCTTGTTAGCTCAGATTCTACCCTTCTTGATATTGCTTTGCATATATGCTAGTATTGAACATTAAATTAGTTTTATGCCCACAAAACTTGTAAAGATTACCCTCGGATGCTGCATGTGTCAGTTTGCTTGTATAAAATGGATGATTTCTTGTGGATTTGAGATGGAAGGAGTTGGTTGAGGCAGGAAGATGGTTGGTTGGAGAAAGAAGAGGTAGAGGGGAGAAGTTAGAACCAGGAAGAGTTGAGATCCTAAGAGGGGATGATAGACCAAAAGCATGGGGGACAAATGAGATTATTTTAATCAATGCTGGTTAATTGCTTTGTTGAAAATAATGTGAATTGAGTAATTATAGGTTGATTATGTAATTAGGGATATTCTGAATTATGGTAATTAGGTGATTGTAAATCCTTGTGTAAATTATGTTTTGTTTGTATAAAAAATTTCTCCTGCTGTGTAATTGAGATACATAAATTCATTCATATGTTCTCGCATTTTCTTCTCTCACGTGTATAAATAGTATCGTTGAGTATTTTGCATCCCATCATTACACAGCATATCAACAAAATCTTATTATGCTTAGTGTTCTGCTTCTTTCTTTTCCTCCACCCATACTGGAACACTAAAGTTTCAACACTACTTGACTATTTAGCACTGAAGTTTTTATATTTTGCATTTTCTGTTTTGGGCAGGGAGTATTGGTACGAAGAGTTGAACCAACTTCTGATGCAAATAATGTATTAAAGGAGGTATTGTAAATTATTTTGATTTGCAAGATATTGTCCTTCAATATCACATGAGTGGACAACCAACCAAAACCTTGAATCATTTTCATTTCTATGCTTCTTTACATAGCAGATCTTTAAATACCTAGAGCATTTTGATAAGTGGAGTCTAAGAAGGGAACAAACATATTTAGCATATTGGAAATAAAAGGCTAAGCTAGTTTGGATTCTAAATATTATCATGCACGTTGTTTGTGTTTGAAAATTGAAAATTCTTGTGCATTAGATGTGTGTCTGTCAGTAGCTGTCTACATGTCTTCTTTATCAAAACTTTGAATACAACTTCAAAGACATACCTGAGGAAATTAGTTACAAATTCTTCCTTTTTTAAAACCTATTGAACCAGGCATTAACATTTTAGATACAACTTGACATTACAGGGTGATGTGATTGTCAGCTTTGATGATGTTCGTGTTGGTTGTGAAGGAACAGTCCCATTCCGATCAAATGAGCGAATTGCCTTCCATTACCTCATCAGTCAAAAGTAAAGGCTTCATTCTCATCCAAATCAAACAAATTAAATTTTGTGTTTGATTCATAGTTTATCCCTTAATTTCAGTATCATCATGCTAAATTTTGCTAATACACTTCTTGTAAAGGCTGTATTTGTACGCTTTCAACTTTGTGATATTAACATCTTTATACGTTCCTTATCATTCCTGACCTCTTCCGATATGTTAGTAATATAATTCAGACATTAAATCTGTGGGTACTGAGGATATAATACTTTACTGTTGCTTCAAAAGATCATTTAATGCACATTATATTGGATGTACTCATGTGGGTTGTTTATTTTGTGGCTTATGAGGTCTTATTTGACAATATCAAGAAGCAAGTTTTACAGCATTTGGCATTGCGTCTCGTGAACATTGGTATGCTTAGAATGGAATCCTTGAGTAATAGTGCTATACAGATTTGCAGGTGATACAGCAGAGCTTGGTATCATCAGATCTGGGACAACAATGAAAACTAAAATTGTTTTAAATCCACGAGTTCATTTGGTATGTAACTTGTCATTGAATTTTGATATCAATTTCATGATATTGTTGATCTGATGCTCTTATTTTCCAACTCATTTTCTCTCTTCAAGGTTCCCTACCACATTGATGAAGGTCCGCCTTCCTATCTAATAATTGCTGGTTTAGTGTTCACACCCCTCTCGGAGCCATTGATTGAGTATGTTGCATTTTTTCTTCATTCTTGGCAGTATTTTCAGTGTTTAGTTCCTTTTTTGTTCCATTTTTTTTGCATTCCTATTTGCGAATTAGTATTTATTTTGTTATTTCTGAAACTTTTGGTAGGGAGGAATGTGAAGACTCTATAGGGGTAAGTTCTGAATATGTATCGGTTAATGTTAAAGCACAAAGTTGAAATCAGTTAGTTTGTGATTGAATTTTATTTTATTTCCTTGGCAGCTAAAATTACTGGCAAAGGCACGTTATTCATTGGCAAGGTTTAAAGGGGAACAGATTGTAATTCTTTCACAGGTTGGTTGCTGGTTTTCTTTAAAATTTATGTTATTATGCACACAATGTTTGATTTTATTCAGGAGATTCTTGCATCACATGTTGCATTACCATTATTACCTTGATCTTATTCATTAATATATTCAACAGTGTCATAGCCTTTAGCATTTTCTAGTTAGATGTTTAGTTGCTCTATATGGTATATAATTTTCTTTTCTTCTTATAATTGACAGGTCTTGGCAAATGAAGTCAACATAGGTTATGAAGATATGAGCAATCAGCAGGCAATTCATTTCCATATGCAAGTTTGATTCCCACAGGCCCCTCTATTTAATGCAAATTTCTCTAAAATGACATTGTTTTTGCAGGTTGTAAAATTCAATGGAACTCCAATTAAAAACATTCATCACCTTGCACACCTCATTGATTGTAAGTTGCTACCTTCTTTACCTATTATGCATTCATTTTCTTTTGCGATATGTCTTAAGGTTGTTCCATTGCTTTGCTCTTGCTCAGCATGCAAGGACAGGTATCTGTGTTTTGAATTTGAAGATAGCTATGTAGCTGTTTTGGAGAGAGAAGCTGTTGCTACTGCTTCATCCTCCATACTCAGAGATTATGGTATTCCATCTGAAAGATCTTCTGATCTTTTGAAACCATATGCGGATACACTAGAAGGTGACCAACCAACTGAAAAGGAATTTGGTGATAGCCCGGTTTCAAATTTTGAAATTGGCTCTGATGGACTACTATGGGCATAATAAATTTCCACCTGAAGATGTCAGAGTAAATTTTCAGATGACGGTAATATTTGAAGCCTGTGATCACAATTTTGGGCTGCAGAAAGTGAAGCAACTGCATGAGGTAAACTTGATGTGAACTCAGGAATGGTTTCATGGTACCCGGGGTCATGCCGGAAGCGGTAATAGCCCCCCTCCAACCCATTGAAGTTGCTTTTAGTAAGGGATAGAAGCATAGGAAAGAGAGTAAATGATTTTTTGCCCATGTAGTTTTTTATTCTTTCACGTCATTCATCATGATTTGATAAACCTGATTGATCTCTTCAGTTTTGATTCTAAAATTTTAAGGTACATTCTATATTTTTAAGGAAACAGTGTACACACAGCAGTGACTCAAGCCTTTGATTCAATCAATCTAACATTTCACTATACATTTCATTAAGTTATTGATGACAAGTTTGAGTAGGCCTCATGTCTTAGAATTTTAAATTGTTCTGACAAGGAGCTACAACATCTGAGGCCTTATTTGGAAATATCAAAAATAAAAAATATATTGATTTGATTTAGAAATTATATTTCATTTTAAACCCTTCATAAAAAGAAGGGGATTTGATTAATTCAAATTGATTTAAAATTAAATTTGGTTTGGAATGCAATATATTTGGAAATATCAAAAGTTAAAAATATATTGACTTGATTTAGAAATTATATTTCATTTTAAACCCATCATAAAAAGAAGGGGATTTGATTAATTTAAATGGCGCTGCCCATAAAAGCAAAATGCCAATTTTGACGATGAAAACTTAAATCAAACTAAATCCAACCAAATTTTCATCGATTTTTATTTGGACGGTAAAAAAATTCAATCAAATTTTTATAACTTTTTAAGGAATTACAGAGACTTTGACCCAGAAAACAAATTACTTGTTTTGTGTCAGTAACATGTGGATTATTGCATCAGAAATAGAAGTGAAAATATGTTATTCTTCATAATTAACTACCGAAATAGGCATTTTAATAAATATTTTTTTTTCTTTTTAAAAGAAAAAACTGGTGTATCGCGGTAAAAGAAATCAAGCTTATTTGAAAGTGGTACTTGAAATTTTAAACCCACGAAGACTTGATACGTGATAAAAGAACTAGGCTTGACGTTCAACTATAACTACTTTGAAGTGTCATATAAAAAACGTTTAATATAATGTTGAGAGTATTGACCAAAAGAATTCATCCCAGAATTCCAATCTAAGGAAATCAGAGTTGGTTCTACGGTATTTATGTTGCTGATAGTCTTGATTCTTTGAACTTTGATAAATCCTATTCCTCAGCGTCAGAGTCATTGAATCTTCCCTTCTTGTATACTTATAAGACATGATATCATCTTTGAATAATTTTTATGCTTCAAAGTTTGGACAATTCAATAATTATCAAGTAATTAATATTTAAGAAGAGAAGTATCAAAGTGATTCTCATATGGATGATACAACTCCTTTTTTATAGTCTTTAAGGGGTGGAATTTACATTTAAGTAGGTGAAACTCAACTTTTATACATACAAAATTATGCTTCTTGTATTCCAATATGAACCTAGCAATAACAATAGTACGATATTTCTTAGTCTACAGGGTAGTTTTTGTGTTTAATAGTTTGAAGATGGCACATAAATGAAAATTGTAACGTAATCACATGGTCGAGTAAAATTAGATTGTTAATCCTTTTTTAATTGAGTTTGATAAGAGTAAAATGTTACTTGAACAACTAAAATAAATTAAATAAATAAATAAGAAAAACAATAAATTAGACCAATTTTTTTAATCTGAATTGTCGAATTAAATTATATTAAATTAAATTTTACATAATAAAAATAAAATTATTAAAATATAAATAAGAATTAAAATAAGAAGGAAATTAATAATAGAAAAAATAGAATTGAGATGAAAACTAAAATAATGATAATTATCGATTAGCTTAGTCACAAAATATACAACATGCCTCTTACAGCCAGTGGTGTTACCTTTGTTGGAGTGCAACAATTTTTGTTGAAGTCTCGAGGATCTCTTGTCTCAAACTAAGCAATTGCATGTTTTAGATCTACACACGATTCAAGTTTTGAGTGCAACAGCGAGAGAGAAACTGAATCACAAAATTATGACTCTAACAGAGTGCAAACCAATACAATTAGTGTTGTTTCGTGATTTTTATATGTTCTATGAATTGCTAATATGAGTTTATAAATTGTAACTTTACCCTTTCTATGTGATTGCATCTTTATATACGCAGAGTGGGATTGAAAAATTATTTTTAAACAAAAATTTGTGTCATAAGTTAAATAATGGAATTCTTTGAGATAAGCTGAAAATAGTTAATTTTAACAAGTTATATCAAAAACTTATTGAAATAAGTTAAAAATAACTTTTGAAAGCCATAAGCTATTTTTTATAAATTGTTCATAATTTCTTTTTAATAGGTCCATAGTTAATTAAGTTTTTATTTAATACATCTGTTTTATACAAGAGTTTATACTATTATTTTAATCATAAAATTTAATAAAATAAATTTAAAAAAAGTTTTTTTTGACAAATTATACAAAAAGAACAATAGGATTCAAACTTAAAAAGGAAATAAAAGTTATTTTACGAAATGATAAAATATTTAATTCTACAAGTATGAAACAAATGTTAACATGTTATTTAAAGTTATTAATACTGTAAAGTTGATTTTAATGTTAACATGCTCTAATTTTTTTATAATAAAAATTTTCAGTACTAAACTTACATTATTGAGTTTAAATTTAGTAAAATAATTTGATCAAATTATTTGTAAAAAAAATAAAATTTTAATAATTTAAAGGTGTTTTAAAAAACAGTTAGAGAAACAAAAGATCAAGTCTAAACAAGATTTGATTTGAGTAAATTAAAGTATGTTTGATTTTTGTTTTCAAAATAGTTTTCTATTTTTAAAAATAAATTTTAATATAAATTCATTTTTAAAACAGAAAACAAATTTGTTTTAAAAATAGAAAACTGTTTTAAAAACAGAAAACAAATTTGTTTTAAAAATAAAAAACTATTTTGAAAACAGAAATTAAACATACCCTTAGTAATTTAGTTTTTAGAACGAATATTCACTTGAAATTTCATTTCTGAACTATGCACAACGGTTTAACTATGCCGTACTCTTTGAAATTTATAAATTGAATAATATACATAACTAAATGTAGAGAAAAATCTATACACAGAAAAATTTTAAGAAATGAATATGTTGGGCTTCATTTGTTAAAAAAGACAAGACACTTAACATATTTCTCAAGAAAATTAAAAATTTTATTTTTCATAATTAAATTTTCTTTTTTGATCAACCCATAATAAATCTTTCTTTTGTTTTTTTTTTATTAATACCATAATATTTTTTATTTTACTAATTTACTCAATTGGACTATCACTTAAAAAGATATTTGCTATGGGTTCTGTGCATTTTTTCTAGGGCCTAGGCTGGGCCTCAAACTTTTTGTTGAGCCAGCACTCTTTTTTGTTGTGCTGAGAAAGCAATCCTGTTTTGAATTGTTTGTTTTCCTGTTTCCCAATTGTTCCACTTCATTCCATATTTGGAGGCTAAAAACATAATAATGTTGAGAGTGGGATTTGAACCCACGCCCTTTCGGACAAGAACCTTAATCTGGCGCCTTAGACCAACTCGGCCATCTCAACATGTTGGTATACTAGATATTATGTAAACAAAATAAAAGACAACATGAATGGAATTCGGTAAAATGAGGTGAAGGAAAATGTTTTTTTTGACAATTTAGGGATAATTTTTAATATATCTAATAAAAATAAATAAATTAAATACAACGTTAATTTAAGTAATTTAAATAATAGAACTGATTTAGCATATTAGAAGAATGCTGCATCTCCACAATTTTCTGTCCATACTTCTGAGTCCCTACCATTCACAAAATGATGTCTCATTGTGATTGGTATTAAACAAATAACGTGATGCCTATAGTACTACCCGACAATCCAAACCAAATATTTGTTTCATATGTGCTGTCCGTGAATGACAATGTTCACAAGAAAGAAATAATGCAAATTAAAGAAGAGTAACTTCACATTCCCCACACTATTTTACTATTTGTACTTCAACCCTTCTTTTCTCACCACTCCTTATTACTTTATCATTGTACCCTTTTGAATAAAGTTACTTTTGCTACAACGTTCTTCTTGAGGACACCATATTCCGTTTCTTTTGGATGGGTGAAATAAAATGAAATGCTAAGAAAATAGCATGAATCATCCCTCTATAAAAGTAATTTACATCATTGCTTACAACTATACATATATTTTTTTATCAGCATACACAAATACATAATTGAGTGATAGTATAATTTTTACATTAACACTACATTAAAATAAACTCAATTGGTTATTTCTTATTTTACAAAAGAGAGAAACAGAAACCAATATATTCCTATTTCGGATTTAGAGAAAGAGATATGACTGTAGTTTACATTCATACAAACCTTAATCCCTTTTTGTACGTGAGATATTTAAAAAATTTCTTCTGCACTAACGAGACCAAATATTTACAGCAGCTTATTGTCAAAAATTTTCATTTTGAATCGTTGTAAAAAAATTTCATTAAAGCTTTTTCATTATATGGAGTTTCCATCCAAAGTTAAAAGGAACTATTTACTTAATATTCAAGGTGCAGAATTGAATTCTACATTTCTAATGATTCGTTGTGTGTAAATAAAGCACTCTTTTATCAAAATTTCTTTCGAGTGAAATGGATTGACTTGTGTGATTTGAAGATTTAGAGGGAAGCTACAATTAGACAAATATACTTTACTTCATGCCTAAGAATTTCCCTGGTCCTTAATTTCTTTCCCCTGAATGCTCTCACTGTTTATTAATTTTTTGTCAAGACGTAGGACTTATCACGTGGACTCAATGAAGTGTCTCTGGTGGAGCTCATAGGTGGCCCCTAATGTGTCTCTAGAAACAAAATGTTGGAGATAAAGGAAAAAAAATTGAGATGAAAAATCTTTGTGAGAATTAAATCTCGTATATTCATGTGCATGTTCATAGTTCCTAAGTAACTGAGTATTAGCGAGTATTAGATATAAATTGTACATGTCTAATATTCTTTTAAGTACGATTTAAAGTTCAAGTTTGATATACGAAAAAAGAACTTCAATCCGGAGTACTAATCTTGTTATGTTAAAGAAGTTGGTTCCAACTAGATTACCTCCTTATAAAAGTATTTTGAAAAAGAAACTGAGATGTTAACTAATGACAATGCCTCAACGTTTTTCTTCTTATCTTTGGGTGTTTATTTTTATGTGAGGGACACCTAGTGTTCATGTGCTCCACAAGGTAATTTACTTATCAACTTTGTCTTGTAGCATGCAATGTGCAGCTGTGAGATGAAAAAGGTTCCAATAATCAACTGCCACTAAAAAATGGGAGCCCACCACTACTTCTTTGTAGACCCTTTTTTAAGTTATTTGTTTCAATTATGAGCCTCCTAAATTTCTCAACAACACTTTATTTTTCTCTCCGAGGCACATTCATTAAGAGAGTTCATCATAAAGCAATTGATATCTTGCCATCATTTATGGCTTCCTTTTGGTCATTCTCCGGAATGTTGATGGCCTTAATAGCATGCCATAGTTCATTGGCCTTGGCTTCTCACCAAAACATGCATGTTTCCACCATCTCAGCAGCACCAACAACATTACCAGGTGCCCCTCTTTACTTCTCTCCTACCATATCACCAGATATTGAGCCCTTGTTTCCCACACCAGGAGGTGCTGCTTACACTCCATCAGAATCCTCATTACCCACAATCCCTGCTAGCCCCAGCCCTCCCAACCCAGATGCCAAGGGTAATCCAGGGTCTGTTTTGGCTTTTCCACCTTCAGAGTCTATGCCAGCTTTGGCTCCCTCTTCTCATGCTGTATCTCTACCACTTTGTTCAGTATTATATCTAGCCTTTCTGCTCATTTGCATGATGCAGCTTCATGCCATGTGAGTTGTAGATGTTGTTGTTTTTCTACATATTTTCTGAAAGCATGTTTTCTCAGCATTGACTGTTCAGTATATCGAGCAATCAAGGCATTCTAGGTAAAATTTTAAGTGCTGGTTTTATAATGCTTCAAAAATTAAGACTAGTGAACATTATAAGTGTCCATCTGGTATCCCGAGTCATTTGAGTGTAGAAATAACATTTGAGGATAAATTTTTTTCATCGTTACTTCAGTTCAGAAGTAACTCAGGAAATGTAATAGAATACCTGTGGTGTTTTAAGCTTTACTTTCTATTTTTTCAGGATCTGTTACGTTTATTATTCTTTTTATTTTCGAGCACATATTATAGTAGTTGTTTTTTTTTTAAATTTAATTTACACGATTACAGTTTATGAGAATTTAATTTTTAACAGAAATAAATATCGAATGATTCATGTAGCCAATTTCTCTTAATGAAATAAATCTTAGTTGATGTTATTTACCGCCCTTTACAAATAGGAGTATATAGTAGAATTCTAGAAATGAAGGGACATTCTCCTATTAATATATGATCATTTGGCTCAGCAATTGATTGACCTAAAGAGTACAGATTCCTTCCCCTAGGAGTCAGGACCACAAATCAGTTTTGTGTTGCAGAAAAAGAACCTTTTAGTGACTGCACTGTGCGCACTTCACATTCACATTATTATATAATGGAAAATATTTTGGCATGAAAAAGAGAGATGGAGGCGGGCACATTTGGTGGGTTACAATATATATATAACGAATAAAATATTGAGACAACCGGAATAGCAAATCTCGGTATCCTACACAAGTGAAAAACATTAATTGGTTGTATAAGAAACTACACTTAGATTCTCAGACAAGGAACATATTGTATTATAAGGTTTGGGAGGTCACTTGGTTAAAATCCCTGCAAAACATATTATATATAGACATCTTAATAAGATTGTTTTACAGAACTAAGCTATTTACTTTGCGAACCGCATCTAGAGAGCTACAATACTAGGCTGATTATTCCTTGTAATAATCCCATTAAACAACTTCCCCGACAATGCTCCCACGAATTTGTTGAACTCAAATGGATTCTTCCATTTTTTGGTAGATTCCTTAGTAATGAAGCTTCTCATCTTTACATTCTCCTGCTTCAGCACATCTATTGCTAAACTAAGGTGTCTTATCACCTCTATTTTCTCTTGGTCTTTCTGCTTGAGATGGTCCTTCAGTACCCTATTCTCTTCTCTCACTCTTTCTACCTCTTCCCTTAACTTCATCACTTCACCACAAATTGTATCCTTCTGATTCAGTTCATCCTTCTGAACTCTATTTTCTTTTCTGAGTCGTTCTTTTTCTTCCCTCAACATCATTACTTCACTACAAATGTTATAATTCTGCTTGCTTTGATCCTTATGAGCCTTATTCTCTTCACTAAGTCTCTTAATTTCTTTCCTCAACCCCATCAAATCATCATTAACAGGCTCAAACTGAGCTTCCTCCTCTTCTCTACACTTCTCAATTTTGGTACCCTCTTCCTCTTCTTGCTCAGGATCATCAACTTCTGATTCCGCAGACTCCTCTACATCACAATTCTCAGAATAGCTGTCATAACTGTTATCTGCAAAACTCATCATCAACTTCTCTGATTGATGATACTTGGGAGAAGCAAAAGGGGATCCGCCTGTTTTAAGCTGGCGAATTCCAGCTATTTGATCATACCGCTCGGCTAATGAACGGTGTGTCCTATAGAAATCTTCAACCATGCTCACAAGCTCTGGTCTCTTCTTGTAATACATCTCTGCACGTTGTGCAAAGGAATCTGCATCTTCTTCAATTAACTTTAACATTGCCCTTGTCTTCTCACTAAGCTCTGCCATAAACAAACACATATCATTTCTATTGTTACCTCTCAACAATAAAATAACGTTCCATAATTACACTACATTAACAACCAAAATACCGGTTATTTGAACAATTGAGTGTTTGAAAACATGTTAGTAAAAAAAAACTAGAACTAATAAAATAACATTGAAGTAAAAGTAGATGCATCCTTATTTTGAATAGAGAGCCAAAGCCTTTAAAAGGTAGAAAGAGAAATTTTTTTTTGAAAGGTAACACTCATGAAGTAATAACAAAGGCTAATAACCTTTTTCACTTTTCTTTACTAGTTCTACTTACGTTCCTCTTTTCTTTCTTTAAGCCTTTGGTACCTTCTTTTGAGAGGGGGATGGTTTTCAAGTACTAATTTTTTGTTTAGGTAGAAGAAAGACGCGCGTGGGTCCGAAACCTAACAGGCTACAAAGAAAGAATCATGGGTCTACATACTTGGAACAAATCGAGAAAGTAATATCAAAAGGCCAGAGAATGATTGGTGGCCCTGACTCATTCAGATATTATACAAAGTTAACACTTTACAAACCATTAATGTTCATGCAATCAAAACATCATTGAATGCATGTTAGCAGTGAAAATTACTCAGTTACCAAATTCATTTTCCATTTTCCATTTCCCAAATTCTAACGAGTAAGAAATAATATATGAAAAAGAAATTCTATATGCCAAAACTCAAGGGTAAACAAATACTACATGAAAAGGAAATTCTAATACCCAATAGTAAGAGGAAGAAAATGGATACCAGTGAGTGTGGATTGAAGCCAAGGGGATCGTCTAGTGTTGCTGTGGCTGTCAAGCCACCACCAGTGTGACGGTTGATTCTTCATCATTTCAGCCAATCTCTCCCTCACTGTTTTCTTGGATATCATCAACACCAAGAGCCTATATACAAATTAACAAAGAGTAAAATAACAAAAAACAACCTAGAATTCCTCAAACAAAATTTGCAAAATCAACATAAGATAACAAATAATTAGCACGTCTTAGTCACAAAACTTTTTTCTTAAAAAATTTGTAGCGATATGACATAAGAAAAGAAAGAAAAGCACCAAACATATCAAGCTTGCGTTTGTGACAAATACACCGACTGAGACACTAACACCGCCTCTTCGTTAACAACAAGGTACCACACACAAACAAACATAAACTTCCTCGAAGAATGCCACTTCCGGGGGGAACATTCAAAATTCAAAACCTCAAACAAGCAGAAACATACACAAACAAAAAACAAGTCAAGATAATTCATTAGACGAAATAAATAAATAAACAACTTTAAATCATACTAGAAAAAAAAAAGAAGGGAAAAACAGAAAAACCCCCGAATCCCAGTTCATAAACGTGAACAAAAAGAAGAAAAGACTGAAACTTTGCAATGCCCACCAGAGTGTGTGAAGTGCTTGGCACGGCCACTGCAGAGGAAACAGAGTCCAATGAAGAAGAGTAAGAGAGTAGAGTAGGACCGTATATATGATGTTGTTTTTGGTTTGAATTTTTTGTCTTCTTTCAAGGCTTCGACCTCTGCTGCTGCGACACGTGTACTTTCTTATTTGGCATTTCAATATGAATCCTCTGCCTCCATCCTAATGCCAGTACAACTAATGCTTAGTTACCATATACACACACACAGTCAGATTCAAATTCAAAACATTAAAAGTGGGGAAAAGGGTGTTGTTGCGGATTATCAGCAAAATACTGTTTAGATAATATCTTAATTGATTAAACAGTATCACAGAAGATTATGATTTGGCAAATTGTTAGCTACTGTTAATAAATTAAAAATATTTTTTATTAAAATATAATAAAGACTTAATTAAGTCTTTGTTCTCTACAAATTACAGTTTAAATTTAATTCCTATAATTTTTTCAAAAAAATATACTCTTTCCAGCAGTATCTCAATGAATTATATTGATTAGAAAGACTTAAAATAGTCAGTAAACAAATAAGAATTATATCTTAAAAAAATTTTGTAATTTTATTTTGAAATCAAACACTTAATTAAATTTATAATAAATATAAAATTTTAATGTAATTCAAGATAATTTTAATAAACAAATTATTTACCCATTGTAATAAATATGAAAAAACATGAACATGTTGATGTTGCTCTGTCAGTGTGGGCTTTCCGCTTTTGGATGTGAAACGCGGGAGCGTGTGCTTATGCCTGTCAATACATTTTAATGTAACGGTCGGAATTCCAAACAACAACGTATTAGTCAATTATTGGGGTGATGACAAAATTAATTTGCATTATTCTGAAGGCTTGTTGACTAAAAACTTGTAATTTTTATAATTATTATTAAAATAATATAAAATATATTTATCAGAATGTAATTATTTTTGGAAAGTTTTGATTTCTTTGCCTTTTTGAAAATTTTAAAATGATATATTCATATTAACATTATGAATTATATATCTTTCAATGGATCTTACTTTCTTATACTTAGTATTAAATTAAATATTATTAATCTTAATTCTTATAACATAAATATATTACTGTAAATTAATTTTGTTTTTTTATTATATTGTTTAGATGAGATGAAATAAAAAAAATTTTAAAAATCTTCCACTTGTTCGAATGAATAAAATAGAAAATAAAAAAAATAAATTGCATTAAAATAATCATAAAAATTTAAATAAATTCAATTTTCTATTATACTAATTTCTAGGATTGATAGATAATATTTTGTATATTATAATATCATAATTTTATTGATATTATTTTTAAAAAATATACACCATAAAATAAGTTTTGATTTTATTTTATACTTTATTATTGTATAATTTAACTCTACGTAATGTTAAAATTGATATATTTTGTATGTAAATCGAGTTAATTCTGAAAAAAGATCCTATCAAAATTTTAGACTTTACAAGAATAAAAATAAAAATGTCACAGTCTCACTTAAGTAATTTCTATAATCTTAGCACTGATATCACTACGTTTCCTTTTATGTTTACTGATGAGCGTACCTTTGATTAGAGAACATAGATGAATTAATTGAGGTGTGCGTCAATCAACGTAAGCTACATCTATCCGTATATTTTCAATTTAGTTAAGGTGTGAGTAATATATTTTGATTTTTAAATTTTAAATAATATTTTTATTAGTCTTTGACTTTATAAATTGATATTTAATTTTTTTTACACATTACATAGTATAATAAGAATAAAATTTAAAAATTAAAATAAAGACTATTTTACGAATTTGAAACTAACAAATTTTTAAAAAATTTAAAGACTAAATTCTTCAATTTATATAAAAGGTTTGCTATATATGGTACGGGAAGTGATGTTTTAGCTAAGATTTTTTCTCTTGCAATTAAACGATAATGTAACTATAATTATAATTTTTGTTAACCTCAATTTTTAGGACTAAAAATAAGTAATTAATAATAGTAAAGTTTTATTAAAAAGAGAAGTATTTATTTTATTTTTATGATTCTAATACAATTATTGTAAACTTTTTTCATAAAAAAAATTATTTAAAAATGCTTAAACTTAATTTTTAGGGCTGAGATTAAAAATACCCTATAATTATAGAGCTATATTTACTTATTTATAAGTAAGAATAAAGACCATATAATTGCATATGCTTATGAGGAGTTTTTTTAGCTCTCACTTGAAGATGGATAAAGAACGTACCTTTGATGATTTCGTAGGGATGTTTTTTCGCTTGCGGAAGGAATACAACAACGAAAGGTCAAAGCCACATTGGCCTTAAAAAAAGAACAAGAAGAATTTGGTTTCTACAATTTGACAAATCGTCTGAAACTTTTTTTGAAGGATGTGCAAAACTATATGGGTGAGGATGAATCGTCATTAATTGAGAGGATTTGAAGAACAAAGAATAAGGCATATGAAAACCTTGCTTTGTAGTTGGTGGTGGTCAACATTTAGGTCGATTTTAAGCTCATTCAAAGGGGGATATGCCTATTGAGGAAAACTACCCAAAGAATCTCTTCATCATTGGCTTTACTTTGTTAAATTGGTGGATATAGTGCTATTTCACAACATGGGAAAAGTGTGATAAATCCTAAATAGAGAAATGGTGAAAGTAATGAAATTGCAAAATAAATCCATTATATTTTGTAAGGCAAGTTCATTTCACTTATCATGTCACTAGATTTCAATCTGAGTTATTTAAAATGAAATGAAATGAGACTTTTAACCTTTCTAGTTTTGCGTCATTTTTGTTTGAACTGATTATTTTAACACTCTAAATGTGAGCTCATAGAATATGTAATGCATGTTTGAACTGGCTATTAGTAGAATATATTTGATTTTATTTCATCTTGTATTTCGTTTATTCTCTTCAATTTGGGAGCTGCGAGATAAAACCAATAATTTTATTTTATTTCATTTTACTTATTATATGCAATACCAAATACATATTTGTTGGGTCTAGGGTGTTTACAAATGCACAAGTTAGAGACAATTATTAATTTATCATCACCTAACATAGTAAGGGATTTAGTTGAATTAAGCATTCAACAGACATATATCATTATTGAAAAGATAAGGAAAAGGAAATGAAAGTGTACATATATTTTTTATTTTTATATCCGTATACAACAAATTTACTTGGATTCTTCAAAACTGAAGATCCTATTTTGTTTGACGCTACAAAATTAAGGATAGAAAAAAAGTTGACAACATAAGCTGAAGAATCAAAGTTGGGTTGAAGGTTGGCACCAAACCCAATCCATATGTTGGTATTGGATAAGGCCATTTTGGTCCCAACCAGCCCGGACCCTCCCCTCACACATTCCTCACTCTCACTTTTTCTCTTCTTACTTTACTTGTTTCCTTCCATTTTCACACTCTGATCACAACGCAAGGGTTCCTCTTCCACCTGAATTCTCAACATGCTTCCCAGGGGAGAGGATTCACGCTCTTTTGGTTCAACGTCCTGGTTTGTCTAGGTTTATGATTCACTCATGTTGCTCTTGTGAAATACAAGCTAAAATGTGTATATGTCTCTCTGGGTACCCCTAGTGTTTCCATTCTTTGACAAAAGGATAACTTTTTTGTGAAAATTTTGGACCTTTCCCATGTTTTTGGGGTTTCGTTAACCGGCTTAGGGGGTTAGAAGAGTAGAGGGAAGTGGCAATGGCCTTCAACAAGGTTTAAGGAAGAGGTTGAGGATGTCGTTTAGGAGCATCATCCTTGAAAGGAAGGGATTTGAGGTTAAATTTGGATATGGCATGAGATCCAGATCACAGTCACATAGTGATGCTATTGGGCAGGGTAGTTTGGTGGTGATTGATGGGTTGAAACAGAGTTGTTGGGCTAACATGCCCCCTGAGCTTTTGAGGGATGTTCTCATGAGGATAGAGGCCTCTGAAGATTCCTGGCCTGCCCGGAAACATGTCGTTGCCTGTGCCGGCGTTTGCCGTAGTTGGAGAGAAATCATGAAGGAAATTGTCAAATCTCCTCAAGAATCCGGCAAGTTGACATTCCCTATCTCCTTGAAGCAGGTCTCACTTGTCACCACACTTTTTCATTCTTTAGATAGTTTAATACTATGCTTAGATTCATGCTAGCTTCCTTTTGATGTATTGTGTTTTAAATTTGTAACTTTTGGTTTGTGTTTATTTTGTTTGTGGCTGTAAATTAGTCAATTCAAGTCCTGTAGTCAGCTGCACACTTGCTAGTGTTTGGTTTCATAACGGTTGGAGTTAAGGTCAGAGAAGTTTGTTGTTGACATGAAATCATTTTAAGCTTAAGTCGTTTGGTTTTCTTGACACTAAGCTGCTTATACTATTCAATGGTATGTGTGACATGGATGACTTACTTTATTTGGGAAGATTGAATAGTTACATTGTCTTACAGAAAAGTTTTTAACTGTTTAATGCTGCTCTTACGGTAGAAGAAGCTGCAATCAATAAAATTTGTATTTATTGGGAAGGAATGGTTGAGTTATGGGCTTGCTCTTTGCTCAATTTGATACTTAAAGTGGCAGTAATATGAAGTGAATATTGCCTTTTGTCACAATTTTTTTTTCTATTAAGATGCAAAAGTTTCATCTTATGTGCATAGTGTTGAATATACTTGCATTACATCTTCCTCAATCTTTGTTCAACTAGGAAAATGAACTCTAATATAACATTTTAATTTACATATGCAAATAATTCTAGTTTCTTTCTTATTGCACAAAGGAAGCAAAAACAGTCTCCATTGAAACATGAAGGATTGGCTGCATATTGTACTATTAGTAACATTGAAGAATTAATATTATTCAGTATTCTAGTTATTGCCAACCCTTCATATGTTTCTTATTGTCTTCATGCAGCCTGGTCCAAGGGACTCTCTTCTTCAGTGCTATATTAAACGAAATCGCTGTAATCAAACATATTATCTGTATCTTGGTTTGAACCAAGGTGAGCACTATGAGAGATTTAAATTTAATATGTGTGATATGGTACTTTTTCCTTTTAGCTTGTACTAAACTAATATAATGATATCTAGTGTAGAGCTGCCTTTTTTTTTTCTTTTCCTCCGTACGATTTTATGCTTTTCTGATGTTGATTTGTATAATTTTTTGCAGCCTCAACTGACGATGGAAAGTTCCTTCTTACTGCACGCAAGTGTCGACGTGCAACTCACACTGACTATATCATTTCTCTAAACTACAATGATGTATCAAAAGGGAGTAGCACCTATATTGGGAAGTTGAGGTATTTTAGCTGATATTTGACATGACTTTTTAATCACTATCTTGTAGGCCTAAAATGACTCTTTTCTTCTTTGTCAATAATAGATCAAACTTTCTGGGCACCAAATTCACTGTGTATGATGCACACCCTCCAATTTATGGAGCAAAAGTTGCAAAGTCTCGTTCCACTAGGCTTGTCAGCCTCAAGCAAGTGTCTCCAAGAGTTCCTGCTGGAAACTATCCCATTGCTCATGTCTCATATGATCTGAATGTTTTGGGCTCTAGGTATTAATGTTGTCACCAAAAAAGTTTCTGTTTTTGGTAAACAAAGTTATTTGGGTTGGCGATCATTAAATGAAAATATTTGGGGACTTGTTCTCTGTTATTGTTGTTCTTGGCTTTCATTTCAAGAGGTTGCATTATTGATCTGTTATTATTTTGAATTTCTGTGTAGAATAATAACTAAAAAGTTAGTTATCAAAATGTTAACAGGGGCCCTAGAATAATGCAATGTGTTATGGATGCCATCCCTGCATCAGCTGTTGAACCTGGAGGTGTGGCCCCAACACAGACTCAATTTCTTCATAGCAGAATTGATAGTTCACCATCCATCCCTTTCTTCAGATCAAAATCAACCCGCATGGAGAATCTCCAAGCAGTACCTTTGACTTGCCAAAATGAGGGAACGCTGGTATTACGAAACAAGTCCCCAAGGTGGCATGGACAACATCAATGCTGGTGTCTGAACTTCAATGGACGAGTGACAGTTGCTTCAGTTAAAAATTTCCAGCTGGTTGCTTCTCCTAAAAATGGGGTTTCTGAGCAGGCTCAGGAAAATGTTATCCTACAGTTTGGAAAAGTTGGAAAGGATGTATTCACCATGGATTACCAGTATCCAATCTCTGCTTTTGAAGCATTTGCAATATGCCTTAGCAGCTTTGACACCAAGATTGCTTGTGAATGATTGCTGGCATAGACGGGTTGGTATTCTTAATACTAACAGAATAATACTGACAACTCTACCAAATCAACATTATTTAGTAAGAGTCAATATTGTCAATGAACATAATAAATTAGATTCACATTTAGGGTCTTTTGTGTAACGTAAGGCTTACGACGTTGCTGGTTTTACTTGACAGGTGTTAACCAGTGAGTGATACTACTGGTTGGAATTGCACATTCATGCAGTATTGCGGGTCAGATACCGGCTATAGATTTTCTGCTTTTCTATTTAGTCCAATTAAGTTTCAGAATCTTCCCTCTTCTCATTGTATATATGGTTGTTTGTGTGCGTTATATTTAACCAACGTGGATTTTTATGTTTGTTTTTTGTGTGCCAGTTTGTAGACAAACCTTGTTTTTTTCGTTGGTTTGTGAGTTTTGCCGCTGTTTTTGGTTGATGTCATTGGTTTTTGCAACATACCTGCTTTTGCTCCAACAAAGGCATTCATGGAAATTCCTAAAAAAATTTCGGTGCTAATTTCGCTCTCAAGTCAAGGGAAAGGATTATTGATAAAAATCATACGTAACAATTATACTGTAACCGGAAAGAGCATCTCCATCGCTCTCTTGTTAAGCAATTTTACACTGTATATATCATAATATATTTACTTTGTTTTCACTTAAATATCATCTATAAAATAAAATAATGCTTTTTTAACACTGACGTCCTAAATAGTTTTATTAGTTTTCAAGAAAAATAGTAGAGCTCATGGTATTTCAATGTGTGGCTTGATCATTAAAATAAAAGTTATTTTAGGCTTCAGTTGAAAGTTTGGATGGAGAGAATATAAAAAGGTTCCTAAGGGGCAAGGAAAAAGTAGTAGAAGGGAGGATAACAAGAAGGTCTTGAATTTTTTTAAAAATAAAACATGATTTTATGAGAATTTCAAAGATTTATAATTTTTTTATATAATGATTACCATTAAATAAACAATTTTTTTTCTTTTTTCTTTCCAAATTTAACTTTCAAGTTACAATGCTCTCCAAATAAAAAATATAATACTTTTGTTATCAACAACAGAAAAGATAAAATACTGAAAAATAGTCTACCTTTCACTCTTTGTTAGGTTTTTAATTTTTGGATGATAATTAGATATTAAAGAATGAAAATGCAATGATTCTATAATAAGATTGTTAATTTTTTTTTAAAAAGCATGTGATTTAGATAAAAATAGTGAAAATGAAAAAAAAAAAGGAAAAAAGAAAAAAATGAAGGGTAGATAGCCAATTGTCATATATAATCTGCACATTAGACACAGTGATGGAGGTGATTGGGTCGTTGGAAAAAACAAAACAGAGGTGATTAGGTGAGTCTCCATGGCGTGTCATGCACCTGCAGAATGTAACACAAATGTGATGCACTACTATGATGCGCCACAAATTCCGCTGACATGTGGTATGCTTTTTATTTTTTAATCAAATAAATACTTAAATTGGTCCTTAAACGTTTTCGTCACGTATATTTTAGTCTTTAATTATTTTTATAAAATAATTTAGTCCTTTTATTTTAAAAAAATATTATATTTAATTTGTTTCTCATCAACAATTCTTCGATAAATTGTTTTTAATTCTACACCGTTTTCATTTTGGTCAAAAAGCCGCAACTTTTGTCATTAAGCTATAATAATAGCTCACTCTATAAGCAATTGTTGCTTTGAGGAAATTAGACCCCACCATCTACCAAATATCAATAGAAAAACAAACACAAAAGGTAGAAGCATGGCAAAACATCTTCATAGTTGACAATCAAGATAGAAGAACCATACACAAGACAAAAGAACAAAGATTATACAAGTGAGGGGTGCTAATACATTTGAAAACTAAAATTTATTGCATAATACAAAAATTATGAAAAAAATATATGTTAGAGAGTATGTTGTTAATATTTGTCGATAATTATAATATATTTTTCTTTTTTATGTAAAAATTAATAATTTTTAAAATATATAAATTAGGAAAATTTCAGCAACTAAGCTATGCCATGAGTGACATAGGGTGGATATACCTATTATTCTACCCACAAACAAAAGAGAAAAAAAATTGTCAAATACAAAGGATCAAGTGACACAGGTGAAAGTTCAATGTATGTTGGGTTTAATAATTATTTACTTGTACCGTTCGATAAGGACTTTTTTTTTTTTTTTTTGTTGATCTTAAGAAACACTTTTGTAACCCTTAGAATAATTATTTTAAGAAGAGTGGGAGAAGGACTTAATTATAATAATAAATAAAATTAAATAAATTCACTAAAAAATTAGCGACTAAAATTATGTATTTGCTATATTTAAAAGATTAGAAGTGTAACTAAATCTAATTGTTAAAGAAACATCAAAACTCTCCTTATCACGTTCCTATTGCAAATTTTTTATTTATATGGCATCATCACTGAATAGGTTATAAAACTAAGGAAACTATTCATTATTGTTTGTTATTTATATTTGATTAAAATATTTTTTTACGAAATTTATTATTTTGGTGGACGAATTTCACTAAAAACAAGTCTAAACTGAAAATTATATTTTATGTAAAATTATTTACAGTATAAGAATTAGTGATTTCATCTCTCTCTCTCTCTTAACTTTGATGATTATTAAATGTTAATCCCGCGAAATATGGTAGCATAAGTTAATTTTTTTTATTTCAAATTGTCTAATTTTAGATGGTAGAAATATATTAAAGCGATTACATTTTTAGGATAAAAATAAATTTTCATAATTCCATGGCTATTAAATTTGTTTCCATGCTTAATTATGTATATATAATCAATTAATATGATTATTTATCATTCCATAATCATTTTTAGGAGAAAAAGAATTTTCCTTTGCAGGATATAACCTAATTTTGTGCCATGTTTATATCTTGAATTTTATGTCAATTAAAATATGTTTCTATAATTAAATAAAGTAACAACATTTCAAAATCTTGTTAAATATGTAGATTTTGAGATTATTAATCTTTTATGTAGATTAAATTGTACCCCCTTCATGTTATGATTAACGTAGTTGTGTAATCCATATCTTGTATGGCACAGTTATAATAATAATAATAATAATAATAATAATAATAATAATAATATACTCTAAATTAAAAAATTTATTTTACTTTATACTTTTTTAATTTAATATATTTTTATATGTCAATTAAACTATTATTAAAATTGTATCTTACTAAAGTATAGGTTAAATTAAATTTTAGGAATTAGTTTGTTTCTATACACCAAATTTTTTGAATTAGTTTATATATAAATAAAATTATTAATATTAATTTATTTCACCAAAATATTATTGAATTAAATAAGTAGACACATGTTATGAATTTTATGTAATAATTTTTTATCAACATTTAATGTATTAAATTAAGAGTTTTGCATTGACAGTAAATTTTATTTATATTATCATATGAATGAGAATTATTATTTTTTATAATAATTAATTTAAATATTATATTTATAGTATATTTTAACCGATAGACAATATTAAAAAAATCATTTAATAGTATATCCAAATTAAATTTTAAATTAACTGTACTCAAATAAGTATACTCTCTAAATATACACTGGAATAAAGTATTTTGTTGATTCTAAACCTCTATATAAAAATCTCACTTTCTTGATTCTAAATTTTTAAAATCAGTTTATATTTCAAATATATCACAGAGTATTAGATATCTATATAAAAATAATAATCTCAAGATTTAAAGTAAAATTTATCAATAAAATATTGAAATTACGCGTGCTCTAAAGTAAAGAATATGTATATATGTATACATACGAAAGAGTTCTCCATACAAGGTAAGTTATATTTAAAGAGGATAAGATAAAAACTAGAATACAAAAAAAGGAAAGAAATTTTGGGGGGATGTACAAGGGCAGAGAGAGATACGTTGAGGATGATTATGACAAGAGTGAAGAGATTTTGTCATCTTAACTCGAATATGTTATATAAGAATGCATAATTAATAGATGAATGTATATATACACAAAAGCAATCGTTTTTCTCCAACAATACCCAAAAAATATATATATATATATACATATATTTCATTCGATAGTGTTTGTTGTTCAACATCCTCCAATAATGTCAAATTATCTTCCCGAAGCCTTGGTTATGGAAATCCTCCTTCTGCTACCCACAACAACACTTGTTAGATTCACCACAGTGTGCAAAGTTTGGAATGCAATGATAAAGAGCCACACCTTCATCTCCTTACACTTTCAACGCCCTCTCTCACACCCCTCCTCTCCTAACCTTCTCATCCAAAACAATAATGCCCAATATTCCCTCTACTCCTATGAAGTTGATGGCTTTCATAAAATAGGAAAATTCGAACACACATTTTTGGTTCGTCTCCCAAACCTTTTCTTTGTGGGCACCATCAATGGTCTTGTTTGCCTCTCTGACCATTGCTTCAATTACAAGAATGATATCATTCTATGGAACCCTTTGATCAAGAGACATGTCCAACTCCCGGTGCCACATTTCACTTTCGAAACATTGTGTGGCGTTTACATTTCAACTCTTGGGTTTGGGTTTGATTCCAAGAAGAATGATTTCAAGGTGGTGCGGATTTGTTATGTTAGTTTCAAGGCTCCACCTAAGGTTGAGTTATATTCACTCAACGAGGGTTCTTGGAAGGTCATCGATGCTTCATATGTAGAACTAAATGCGGTATATTCGGGGTCACAATGTGTTTTACATGGGAATGTGCATTGGCTTGCCTACAAGGACATGCCAAGTGATCTTTTTCAACAAAATTATATTCTAATGTTTGATGTGGTGGAGGAGAAGTTCAACACCATTGATTATCCAAAGGGGTTAGGAACTACATCCAACTTGGACATTTTTGTAATCGAATATTGCCTTTCGCTATTAGAATATGTATTTGATGGAACAACAATTGCTTGTAACATATGGATGAAAGGAGAGACATGGTCTAAGACTTTCCACATTAATTTTGAGGAAACAATTAATGAGTTGTCCACAATGGATGGTCAAATTTTCAGGTTTGGAGTTGAAAAGATATGGGGACTCGGAACAAGTGGTGAGGTGTTGGTGCTCCCAATCTCATATCATAGACCAGATGATGGAATAGTATCCTCATACATATATTCCTTTGATCTTAAGACCAAAAAGATAATAAAGGTTCTCCGAGAAAGAATTAAACCAACATGGTTCCATGCTAGTAACTTCACACCGAGCTTGGCTTTATTTGACACAAAAAGCAATGAAGTCTCATGCACTTTGCGCAAGGGCAAAACTAAAAACTTTATTACAAATGCTTGGCATCATGCACTTTTATATTTATTTGGCCGCAAGTAATTATGTTGATTGATTACTTATTAATGGATTATGGTTTGTCTTGTTCTACACAATATTGATGCAATATGATAATTGAGATTATAGATCATGATGTTTCATGAAGACCAAAATTCTTGATGAGTTGTTTGATAGACTGTCAATCAAATTTTGAATTGTATGAATTTTCGCAAATTCAATTTTTTTTTATATTTTTATAATAAAATTATTTGAATAAATAAATATAATTAAATAATATTTATAAATTATATATTTATGAATATTTAATTTATCTGAAATATAATATGTACAATTAATATATTAATTTCATATCATTTAACATTTATATTATTAAATTTATATTTTATAGAGTTATTAAGCATAAAACATTGATGAGAGTTGTTCCTAGAGATTCAATACCTAATCTCGCTTCTGTTAATTATATTTTTGTCCTTTGCGTTTTAGAGCCACCGCACGCCACTGCGAACACTTGAAAATAGTGAAACAATGTATGTCAATGCTAGTTATTTCATTGCTTCTTTTTTACCACAATATCATCAAATGGAAAAACCACCCCAATTCAAATGCCACATGAATCACAACAAAGGAGTTTCATCTCATCCTTTAAGATTAGTAACATTTTTTAACTGTTTACAGAGATATTTAGCCTGAAGAGAATGAAGTAAATTGAATTATTTTATTTTATGATTTTATGATTTAACTTTTTAACTATGATTTTTTTTTATTTAGGATTATCTTAGTAAATTGAATTATTTTATTTTATGATTTTATGATTTAACTTTTTAACTATGATTTTTTTTATTTAGGATTATCTTAGATTTTCTTTTGTTATTTTTAATTATTTTGGGTTAGCTTAGATCTTATTAGATTTTTTAGGTTTTATATGACCCACAAATAAGTTTTCTTTATAAACAATTGACAGACTTTGAATATTTGAGTCAAGAAATACTTATTGATCTTAAAGAAGTACTTTAAGTTTATTCAAGGAAGCACCCTATAAAAAAAATATCTATAAATTTACAATTATACATCAAATATTCTTGTATGTGAAAATATACATATATATAGGACTCTTTCTCATTATTGGTCAACCAAAGTGAGAAGCACATTGAAATATATTGAGGACAGAAAACAGTTTTTAGCCCAAAACACAAATGTGACTTTCTAAGGGGGAGAATAGTTTCACACATAGCCCAAACTTGATACAATTAGCTGAAGTTAAAAAGTAAGCAAAAAGTTGATAACTTAACTTCCTGAATTAAAAGTGTTTTACAAAAGTAGATACCGAATAAGTTGATAAATATAAAATAATATATTTGTATTCCAATATAGCCAAGTATAAGTGCTAAACTTATCAAAATAGTCTTAAAATAAGAGTTCATTTTTGTTTTTTTCAATATTATATGTAAACTCCCTCAGTCCCTTTATTTCTTTGTAGCCTTAATACTCCATTGTATTTTTATTTTTCTTTCAGAAAAAGAAGATTAAACCAATAGACAATAATAAACATACTATCATTTAACGTATAAAGGTCGATATTTTCGTTTCCCTGACAATAATAACAATCTCATGCTCAATTGGACAATTGTTGAAAATTGATGAAGCCTTTTTATTTTTTGTTCAATATTGATGAAGCTTTTGAAGCCATTTGGATTAACTGGGCATGTGTACTCTATTTCTCTGGGCCAGCTCTTTCAGCCTTTCAAAGGATTTATCTAGGCCTAGAGACAAAAATGCAAACTCAATGGACCTACATAGGCCCAGTAGTTGGTGGATTATCATTCTCCCATCTTCGTTTATGCTTTTGGATAGGCAAAAAAGCATAATAGATAATTATGTATGAAAATTATTGCCTATGAAATTAATCAATACATCAATTTTAATACGTGTTAAATTATATCATTACGTCCAATCTATTATTTCTTTTTGGTGCAAAATATTTATTAAGTTTATTTTGGAAGATGGTTTTCTTTTGCGCTGATTAAGCAACCAATGACATGCAATAGCAATTTGAGCAATGGATTTTCCCAGCACTGGCTATCAACTTGACTACAATGACATGCTCGTCGTTATCACACACTTCATTGGACAAAAAGAAAGGAAAAATAAAAGTAAGGATAAAGAAAAGGATGTGTAAGGACGTAGGAAAATATAAATGTTCATTAAATGTTAATAGACCCGACAGTGACTTACTTTCATGAGAGTTGAGAGAAGGAAAATGAAAGGTGTTGATGTGCTACGCAAGAAAATAAATTGATCCCAAATAGCCAAAGATTTATAGCTATGCTCCTGGTTTCCCATTAATATCGAGCAGTTGGACTTGCACCCTAACCACAAGAAAGATTAAAAAAAATGGAACTAAAATTACAAATCACTATAGGAATCCCAAATGTTACTTGGTTTTGGTAGTCAAAGCAAACAATTATTAAAAAGAATGACACCTTAAGGTATTGAAGCAAAGTTGGCAAATAGTAATTTTAATTAACGAACAAAAATGGTAAATTGATTGTGGAATGGGCCTTAAAATAGGATATGAATCTAGTGAATGGGTCATAAAAAAGTCAATGTCACAAAGAAGTGGTCCCCAAGAGACAAATGCGATGGAGTTTAGACCCTGGATGAGTGGTCCTCTTTTGAAGTGGTCCATCAAGTGTCTAAAAGGAGCTTAGTCCATGAATCATAGCCATCCAATCCACCTCAGGCTCCAATCTTATGGACCACATTGGCCTTCAATGAACAGAAAAGCTTCACAGGACCATGATAAATGTTGCATAAATCCACAGGTGAAATTGATAACTCGAAGCTACAACTTTAATTTATTACATCCTTCCCTTTCATATTTTTGTTTTCTTTTATCTCTTTTTTTTTTAAATCAGTGTGTTGGGGTGGGTGGTGGTGGGGGAGAGGAAAGATTTGAGAGTTATAGTTGTAGTTATGTATGGCCCCAACACACTTACAATTATAACAAGTGATGTTACCTATTAACTACTTTTTGTACCACACAATGTGATTGAACTTGGAAGCTTCATACCGTTCCTCCATATATATCTTCTTCTCTCAGTTCTCCAAAATAATATGCATATAATTGCCAGCAATATATTTCATGGCATTTAGAAAGAGATTGAAGAATAGATTTCAGCCTTCAACGTATTATAGCAAGTGACCCCAGTAAACCGCATAATAATATATCATCCAAATTCCTCTCCCACGTGTTCCTGTTAATTTGTGTATCATACATATCTCTCTTTTGTTTTTTTTTCAAACAAAAATATATGAAATCAAAGCTAAATATGAATTTTGAAAATCAACACATCTAACGATAGGCCATGTTAAGTTAGATTGTGTAATGGGTGAGGAAGGAGTGTATCTGTGCAAGCTATGTTTGATGATATGCAAATAGTGAAAAAAAAAATGGAAAGGGTTGACCCTCCAATAAGCGTGCCGAATTTGAATTTGTCATGTAGTGGAAAAACTACGATAAAGCTTTTTAGCCTTTTAGAAAAGACTGCACATAACATGGGTTGGGTTGTGGCGTGGTGATACTTTTGGAGATGAAATAACACAACGCTGTGATCTTCCTAACTAAAAAGAGAGTAGTCAATGCTTCCCCATCCCAAGTTTCATGTGTTTCTAAACTGTCTGAAAGTGACAAAAATTAAAGTAATAATAGCTTTCCTTGTCCAAAATCTGAAATAATCCTAATTTTGAATGTACGTAAAACAAAGTGGGTTCTTGCCTAAATATCTTACGTTTAAGAAGTCATTTCCTAATTTAATTGAACGTTGGACATTAGTTCTGTTGATTATTTGAGAATTTCAACATGGTTCAAGTTGAGAGATCTTGCTCCCTATTCTCCTCAACAACCAATAAGTTCTTGTCCTATGTACCTTTGCATTGCATGACCAAATTATTAGCTTATTAGATTATTCTTTAATTTCTTCTTCATGAAGTGAGGTAGTTTAATTAAGTTATTGGTGAGTGCATGATTTTCTATTTTACAGTATATGGGTCATTTCTTTTTTCACTGAACTCTTGATCTTACACTATAGTTTTGTCTACAACACATGCATGTAGACAAAGATAGTGAGATACTCGGAGATATTGAGAATAAAGAAGAGTTATCATTTAAATAGATTTTTAAGTTTTCGCCTTTTGCTTTTACAATATATATATATACATATAAATGCAATCAAGAGTTATACCATAGCTAAGTTTGGAGGATATATAGGATGAAAGAAGAAAAAAAAGGCAAAGTGTAAAACCTTTTTTTAGGTACTCGAAAACAAAATCAATGCAGATCATAAAAAACAAACTAAAAAAATTCAAAATAGGAAATAAAAAAAATACTAAATTGATTTCAGCTTTGATTTTAAAAAACATTTTAATCTAGATCAAATCAAACTGATCTAATCTTATATGCATATATTGTCTAAAATATTATGATGCCACATACACTTATTTATTATTTTATTGTTCAATCTTCAAGTCCTATCTAATATGATTCTATCCAGTTTTGGTACTGTGTACGTTTCTTAAAAAATAAATTCATTTTATATCCAAACTAACTAAGATCAAATTATTTACATTATTGGTTAATAAAGTCTAAGGCGAAAATATTTTTAAATTTGGTGACTTTTTTTTTTTTTTTGGTTATAAAATGAGCCACCATTCTCTCTTTCTAAAAATTCAAAACAAGAAAGAAAAAAAAAACCAGTAATCTTGCCGTGTTAACTTTGACAAACTAATGCTTTTAGAAAAAAAAAAAAAAAAAACCTTTGAAAAACTAACAAACATGGTATCGAAGCATTTTTTTTTTTTCATTAAGTGGTTTAAAACTCAAGTTTTACTCATTTTCTTCTTCTAATAATAATTTTATAGATAAAATGATTATTTGCGGAAGTGTATTACAGTTGTAATATCTTAAATTTGACTTTTTGTAAAACATGAAGCGCGCTTTAAAAGATAGTGTGTAAAGCATGGTTATAGTTTAAAAACTCATTAAT